GCAAGATCTTTTACTCCGAATCTCAGATCAGGTCCTGGGACACACTCTTTGGAGAAACACACCAAAAAGAGTTAGATGACTCATTTTAACGGCTCTGGAGAAATGGAAAGTGAAATATTTTAAACTGAAATCGTAAGTGACACAAATTTGAGCAAGGAGCGAAAACAAATGACTCCACGAAGCGGAGACTCCCCAAGACACATGGCTACCGTCATTGGTGACGAAGCGGGTTGTCACTTAGGAGAGGACAAGCCCAGCAGTTTTCTAAATGTCTCCTGTCACACCAGAGGATATTAGCAATCTGTGCACAGGTGGCCCAGACGGACACCAGCAAGGGAGGCCTGGGAAAGGGGCTCTCTGGTATCACACTCACACAGATGGGTCCTCCCAAAGAGATCAGGTTGCCACGTGGTCAGAGCAACAGCGAGGAAAATGAACGCAGAGTTGACTTGCTACCCAAATGATCTTCTGCAGCATTTTTCTTTCCAATTGTTGCTGAAATTCTACCTCTTCTGTGAAATCTTTCCTGGCTAGTATCTCTTGGCATGCCGCCATCCTGCACTGATTCCCTTCAGCACCGCACACGGGCGCCCACACGGTCCTCTGCTATCCTGCCCGACACAGAATGCGTGTTGGTGAATCCGCTCACTCATGGAGACTCGTGATGCTTAAACACACACAAATGAGCAGATTTACAGAGCTAGCAAATAAAGTACATACAACACCAAAAAACAATTTTAGTGTCTATCATTGGCATAAAGCTTTATAGCACTTTACCCCATCGTTTATTAGCTTATCTATTGTGAATTGCAGGGTCTCGAACCTCTGCCCGCACACGGCATCCAGAGGGGCCACAGGATTCATCACTGTTCGATGCATGGACCATGCTGCCTACGCTCTCCTGTGCTCACGAGCCAGTTGTGCACTTCATTAGCCACACTCTGTTTCTTTAGTGCAAATTTGTGTTTATGACCAAGGGGGATGCATTTATCTCAGGAATGCAAGGTTGGTTGTACTGTAAATCCCTGACAATTAACTTTTTTAAAAAATTGTAAGTGCCTGACATGAAGCTTTTGGTTGCCGAGGTATCCATTTCAAAGACATTTATCTAGGGGAAAAAACAAAAACCAACACATTTGCAGCTACACAGTGAGGTAAAGGCCTAGGCTGCCCCACCCACGAAGATCCTCCTTTTAGAAAGCTCCGGCCGAGCTGCACAACTGCCTGCTTTCCCTTCCCATGCTTCAATTCCCACTCTTACGTGCTCAGTTCACCGAGAGAGGCTGGACCCGACGAACCCTAAGAGCTCCACTCACGACTCCAATAGGAGCGGAACTTTCTTTGTTCTTGCCTCCTTTCTCCCTCTCCTCTCTCCCTCTCTCTCATTCTCTCTCTCCCCACCCTGCCCCTGGCCCCCACTCCCTTGTGTGGGCCCCAGTCTGGAAACCGCCTTCCGGCCGAAAGTCTGGCCAATCATAGGGCTCCTCTCATTGGTTCTCTTCTCCTTGTGAATTTGCCTGTTGTCCAGTGTCTCGAATAATTCTTTCTCACATTTCATGCAACTTTCCAGCAGTCTATGGTGGATGGGTGTTTCCAAACTCCGTCATTCCATTATGGTCAAAGTTTTTGTCTTTCTGCTTTAAACCTTCGCTCATGACAGCACTCTAAAATGGTCACTCTTCCCCCGCCCTCACCAGCACCCCATGTTTCTCTTTTCGGCCTTATTTTCCTCCGTGTGAGCCAGTGGTTCATGAGAGTTAGTTACCACTTTGTTACAAACTAGGAGGTATACTAGCTCATGTTGTTGACCATATGTCTTCCCCGACACATTCCCCAACTACCATGACTAGAAGGTTAGCTCTCTGAAGGTACGTAGTTTTGACTGTCTTGTTTTCCGATGTTCCCTCGGTTCCTGGAACAGTGCTTAGAACATAGCCCGTGTTCGATAACTTGTTGAGTGAATTAAAGGAGGTGAATTTTTATGCTTGTCATTGAAGGACCTGTATGGCGACATTCGACTACGAGAATGTAGGAAATACACAGGAGGTATGTGGGGTATATGATACTTGCCACGCTCACGAAGTCTCAGGTGAGAAATTAACAGACCCATTCCTGTTACACCCAGGGTCCAAGGCCCAGTCTCAGTGCTGGGATGTGGGGCGCAGGCAAGGCCTGCGGCGGAGGCTCCAGGGCGGAGGTGAGATGGGCCGGGTCTTGCAAGGACGACAAGGCTTTGTTAGGTGCGGGGGTGGGGGGCCAGGACAAGCACTCTGAACAGGTTTTTTTTTTCCTTTTGACAATCCCGTAAACACACACATTTCCATGACCCTTCTGCTGCTGATGAGTGTGATGGACAGCGGAGGGCACAACAAGCTGGAGAAGGACGTGAACCAGGCCGCAGGGATCCGTACAGTGTCCTGTTGCTGCTGGAACGGTGACCAAAACAGCAGCTTAAAACAACAGGTTCATCACCTTACAGCTCTGGAGCTCGGGCGTCTGAAAGGGGCAGTACGGGGCAAAATCCAGGTGTTTGGGGGCCTCTGTTCTTCCCGGGGGCTGGCTGGAGGGGAGAATTTGTTTCTTTGCTCTTTCCAGCTTCTAGAAGCTCCCCACGGTCTTCAGCTCCTGACCTCCAGCCAACGACTGCATCACTCCGACCTTTGCTTTCACACGACAGTTTCTCCACCGACTCTTGCCTTCCACTTTCCCTCATAAGGATACTTGTGGCCACATTCAGTCCACTTGAACGACCCAGCAGACTCTCCCCAGGTCAAGAGTCTGACTTTACTCATGCCCACGAAGTGCCTTTTGCCCTGTAAGGTAACAACACAGTCACGGGCTCTGGGAATTAGAATGCGACCTCTCGGGTGTGGGGGGGGCGGCATTACCCTGCTTGTCAATGGGCTGACAAAGGCAATTTAAAAGACAAAATGTCAAATGTGGGGAGGGACAGAGAGCACATGTCACTAAGAAAGAATAAAGTCAAACATTATTTGAATTAGTTATTATTTATATAAGTCATGTCTGTAGATTCTTCAGGTGGCATGAGTCATTAAGCACTAACATTGAGCGCCTGGCTGGCGTAGCTCAGTGGATTGAGCGCGGGCTGCGAATCAAAGTGTCACAGGTTTGATTCCCAGTCAGGCCATATACCTGGGTTGCAGGCCACGGCCCCCAGCAACTGCACATTGATGTTTCTCTCTCTTTCTCCCTCCCTTCCCTCTCTAAAAATAAATAAATAAAATCTTTAAAAAAAGAACTGACATTGATAGTTTTTAAAAATTTGTTTTCAATTACAGTCAACGTACAATATTGTATTAGTTTCAGAAGTACGACGCTGTGGTTAGACATACAACATGTGAAGCGATAAATCCCATCTGACACATGCATATTGATGCTGCCTGTGCATGACAGTGTAAAGCTGCCATTGGTATGTCCATATAAAACCTCGCTTTGCTGAGATTTGAACCCAGGTCTCTCATAGCCCACACCCAGGTACGTACCACGGGCTTCCGTGCCTCCCTCTGAGGAAAACCAGCCCATGTTCTTATAACACAGAATCACTCCATCTGTGTCCCTGAGCACCACTGAAGAGCTGAAATGTCGTGGTTCCAAAGCAACGTCATTTCAGCAGAAATCAACATGCTCTCTCGGGAGAGGGCTGCTAGAAGCAGAAGGCCTTCTGCGGCTCGCGCAGAGCAGACGGGGATCTGAAGGCAGCTCCGGAGCATATGGCCTTCCGGCGCCTTCCCAGGGTGGGGAGACGGGACCAGCGGTGAACGCGGAGAGGAGGCACGATTTCAGAGGAAGCTGTTGGAGTCTTGTGTTGCAAATACAGTCTCAGAAGGCACTCGCGATTCCTGTCTCTGTTTCTATTTCCCCCTGGTGTTCTATTGCTGCCTGTCACTCCCAAACACTATAAATGTTCCTTGCCAGATTTACACGCTAAATTCTGACTCCATCATGTTCTCTCCAAGAATCTGACACTTCCTTCTCCTGGTGTACGGGACAGAAGGCATGTCACAGCTCAGCTAAGTGAGGGTGTGGGAGGGTGGCCTGCGCCTGTGCAAATGTGTCACAGGCTCGTTTTCGTCCACCATCTCATCCCTAAACGGCAGCATTTGGACAGCACAACCTCTACATTCTAAGGGTCCCACAAGTCCACAGCCCTGCAGGGGTTATGTGGGATTCCTGTTTGGGCCGGTCAGATTCCCCGCACGTCCAGGTCCAGTTGTTCATTAAAGCAGTCCAGGCCTGGCGGTGATTCGGCCCGAAACGGCAAAGGTGTTTTCAGGGCTTTGGCGACGTTATCCATTGTGGTTGCGGTTTGCGGATCGCCAAGTGAAGAGGACTGATGTCCAGGCGCTGGCGTTGCAGACCCAGGACCAGGAAGGCCGAATTCTGCCGAGGTTGCTGGGAGGGCAGGAGGCAGAGGTCCCGGCGACCTCGCAGGCGCACACAGTGATGCGCTGGGCTTGGGAGCAACTAAGCCCTTGCTTTTCACAGTGAGGCCTGAGGACCAGCACCCAAGGCATCACCTACGAAGTTGCTAGGCGCTCAGACCCTGCCCTAGATCTGCATGGGCGCAGCCTGCCTGTTAAGGTTTCTAGGTGATTCCGAGGCACCTACGTGTTTGAGAAGCCTAAGGGTAAGTGTCGCTGACCACCCCTACCTTGCCCCTAAGTGTGGCAAGGGCCAGCCTCTGAATTACCTGCGAGTCTGCTGTCCCATGGCAGGAGGGACCCGGCGTCCCTGCCCCTCCTCGTCATCGAGAGCCTGGGAGAGACCGACGGGGAATCACAGCGCTGTCCCTGCAGCCCCCGCTCCTTCCCCGGCGACGCTCGCCCGGGAGCTGCGGCGCCAGCAACCCCCCCCGCCCCCACCCAGCGGTCCCCAATGAGCGGCAGGAGCGGTGATAAAGCCCGCCTCGGGCGCCCACGGGCTCCTCCCTGGCTGGGATTTCCTCCAGCGCGCTCGGCTCCTGCCCGGAGGCGCCGGAACCCAGCGAGGGGTCCCCTGCGTCCTGTCCTCTCCCCGGCCATGGGTCGCCGGGCGCTCCTTCTGTTCCTGCCGCCCGTGCTGGCCGCGCTGGGTGGCCTCGAGGGCTCCGGGGCAGGTAAGTGGGGACCTCGCGCTCCGAGGCGCCCTGGAGCGGCACCGCACCCCTCTCTGCAGGGGGCAGGGGCTGCAGGTTGCGGGGCGCAGCAGGGGCGGAGGCAGAGGTGAGCTTGGGGGACCCTCTGTGTGTGTGCGCCCCCGCCCCTATCCGCTGTGACCTTTTATCAAGGAGCCGAGGCTGGCCTTCGGAGGGGCCGCCAGGTGAGTCTCGTGGCCTGTCTCTCAGCTCTCGATTCCTTCGCGGGCCTGCCCCGCGGACGCGAGGCTGGGGTGCTCAGCGCAGGAATTGCGTCTCTCCCCTCCCGCGCTCGAGCGGTGGGAAAGGGCGCTCACGCCACGCCTGAGTGGGGGCGCCCCGTCCCTCGTACGCTCTCCCTGTCCCCAGTGTCCAAGCCCAGTGGGATTCGCTCTCTATCCCTGGTCTCTGAAGGGTCCGCCGCTTGGGGTCTCCCAGGCAGCAAACTGGCCCCTGGGAGCCGGGGACCTCGGGAAGCGGGGCCTCACTCAGGAATACTCTGGGGAGAGGTGCGCTTAGGAAGTCCCTCCCTACGGCGCTTGATCCCTATCAGGTTTAGGCGGAGCCCAAAGCAGAGGGGAGCCGAGCCGGAGTCCCAGGATGGCTGAGACGCCCCCAGTTCCCGAAGGCTGGTGACTTAGCCAAGTGTAGGGGGCACCCGGCACTGGTCACACCGCCTGACCCGCCGCCTTGCCCAGTGCCCCTGGCGGGTGCTCCGGGTTGGCCCCAGGGCTGGAAGGCCGGGTGTAGTGTAGCTTATGCAGGCCCTTTCTTAGCCAAGGTGCTGTGAAGTAGTTTGGAGGAAGGGCCACTTAGCACCCGAGTCCTTTGTTTCCCAGGAGGGGTGCTAACTAACCGTCGTTGGCTGGACGCCCTTGCTCTGGGGGTCCGTCAGCACCATGTCTGAAATCGGATTAAAGTCACTCATGTTTTTTACTAAGCAGTGCATTCCAATGTCTTCTGGTACGAAGACATCTTTATATACTGTCTAATTTGGAACAGCCCATGCTTTGACAGGCTATGAGAAAGCCACCATAAATTTGATACATAAATAACTATGTTCATAACTAAGTGTCTTGTTTATTCACAGCAAGCATCTCCAAATTTGGAATGTAGTATTTGAGACCCATCTGCAGATAATGTATAGAATATATATATGTATTATATATATGCACACTTGGTCTCCGGACTGAGAATCGCCAGGGTGTTCAAGGTGTGGCTCGCCTGCCGAGTGAGTGTTTGAGGGGTGATTGCAATCCTTCTGGAAGGATCTTCTGGAAAAGGAAGCGGCAGAATTAAGGCTTTATGAGCATCTGTGTGGCAGATACTGCGTCCAGTGGCTTTGTGCTCATTTAACCCCCGAACCTTCCTGTTGATGGGATTCATTTACCAGCCTCATTTTATAGACAAGGAAACCGCAGTCCAGAGAGAGGAAGGCAGTACCCGAGGCCATGCTGTTAGTGAAGTGGTCTGGCCAGAAGCCCACCCTGATGGGGGGCCTGGTGACTGGGCCAGCGCCCCCACGTCAGTGGTCGGTAACACCATCAGCTCTCAGTCTAATGGTTTTGGTCACGTTAAGTGAGGTTGCCTGGGTGGTATGTGAGAAGATGTCAGAGTTATTAGGTACCCATGAATAACCCATACATCCTGACTATTTTATTTAAAAGGTTTTTATAAGCCTTTAAAAAGTTAAACATTGAGCCCTGGCTGGTGTGGTTCAGTGGATTAAAGGACTGCCTGTGAACTAAAAGGTCTCTGGTTCAATTCCCAGTCAGGGCACATGCCTGGGTTGCGGGCCAGGTGCCCAGTTGGGGCGCATATAAGAGGCAACTGATTGACATTTTTCTCACACATCTATGTTTTCTCTTCCTCTCTTTCTCCCTCCCCTCCCCTCTCTCTAGAATTGAATAAGTAAAATCTTTCTTAAAAAGTTAAACGTGGAGTACGTATGCTTAAAGCACTATCTTACAGGGATACAGGTAAGACTCAGATGTGGTTTGTTACCCAAGAGAGTATATCTGGTTGACAATAGACTCCCATTGTCAATTCCCACTATGCACCTTTGCAGATGGCTTTGCATTCCCTACACACAAATTATCTCCGGGAGCAGGACTGCCGGGTCTTCACTGCGCCTTGCAGAGACTTCCACTAGTGTGGGCCTCTGCCCTGTGTTTTCTAGGAACCAAGGATTGTTTTTTCCTCTTTGGAAGTGAGGACAGTATAGTAAATTATGTATAATCAGGCTTTCCTGGGGCTTCTCTTAGAGGGTCATATTCCATAACAGGCCTATTTTTGACCATTAATCATTCAAGGTTGATAAACCTAGGTTCACAACCTGAATAAAACTGATAGTGTAAATCAATCCCATGCAAATATCTGGAAACTTACAAATACTGTAACCAGGCTACAAAGATGTACCTACCATCTTATAAAGATGGTATGCAGGACCCAAAACCCTAATCTCCTTTTAAGATGCATCTGCACATGTCTTAAAGTAAGCTAGAGTCAAGTACTTTGAACTTAGGGCCCTAAACTTGCAACTGTTCATACTTGGAGTCTTTAAGACTACATGAGAGCAGGAAGAAGTATGTCTCTTTAAACACAAGTGTAAGTCTGCCCATTCTAGTAGGAAAATGGAGGCAAATGGCCATTCTCAGCAACAACACCAAAGCACCAGAAAACATGGTTCCCAAGGATCCTCACGTGGATTTTAGGGTGCTGAGCCCTCTTATTGCTCTCCTGGGTATTAGCTCAAGGAAGATCCTCCAAAACAACCTTCGACTGCAGAACATCACGAACAGGTGCTTTCCTATACCCAAGCACGCCAGGAGCTCTCACAGCTCTGCTCTTGGTCGCCCCCTGCAGACGAAGCCCAGTGTAACCGGACGAGGCAAGCCGCGTGCGGGGACAGATGCATCCCCGTGGCCTGGCTCTGCAACGGAGAGCGAGAGTGCCCGGACGGGACTGACGAGCAGTGTGGTGAGCACTTCCTCTGCCGCATCAGGGACTCCTTCATGTCTGGCCCCGACTGCCATGCACTTGGCCGACAGGGACACTGTCAGTTCTTGTGGTTTTAGCCTCCTAAGGGAATCCAGAAATAGCGAGTGCTCTGGGTTGTTGCAGGCATTCAGTGGGTGAGGCCAGGATGTCTCTTTAAGTGTCGGTACCACTGTTAAAGAAAGGATTAGAAGGCTGGTTGGGATGGAAAATCCAGCAAAAATGTGCCTGCTTACCTTAAATTCGTGCTCACACGCCTGTGGCAGCTCCTCACACTGGGATATCGTAGACATTGCTTTATAGGAAACCCTTGCCCATCCCAGGGCACACCAGTGCCGTCATGTACGACAAACTAGTTCAGCTTTTATATGCTTAGACATTTTACACCATGAAAACACAACTTTGCAAAATGACTACAAAGAAAGCTACAGCATCATGGGAGACTTGGTAAGTGTCCTGAGGGAATGAGGCTCAAGTACCCCTGTGCAGGAAGCGCTCAGAGCCCCAGGAGGGCCACGTGCACTCCGGCGTACGAGGGCAGCCTCCTACCGGGTGCCTCACAGCCTGTGCCGTGAACATGGAGGGAGAAAACTCCTCATTAAAGGAGGACACCCCCAAAGTGCTTGGTGAGGGTTACATTCCTTTGCTATGCCCCATGTACATATTCCTGATGGTCACTTACCGTAACTAATTGAACACGAAACCTTTGATATTGAAATGAGTAACAGTACCGGTTAGAGTAAAAGTATTTCATACTTGCAGGAATGCCTTGTGCTGTGCCGCCCCATACACTTCACCCCAGTTCCCCAAGTTTATATTTATGTTACTTATTTATATTTATATCCCAGCTTTTGCCAGTAGGCATACTTCGGTAGAAATAGTTGAGGGTCTAATTAACCCAAAAACTAATAGTTCCCAAGTTGTCTTAGATCTTAATATAATCCCAAACATCAAAGGAGTCAAAGAAATCAACCTATATAAGGTGGCCCCTAGCCACACGAGATGACTCAAATTTATGTAACTAAATAAAATCGTACACATTTGGCTCTTTTGTCATCTGAGCCACATTTCAAGGGCTCAGTAGCCCAGTGTGACTAGTGGCCACCACTTTGGACGGCACAGATATAAAATGCTTCCATGGTCACCAAAGATTTCGTTGGACGACGGTGTTCTGGGAGAAGGAGGGGGAGGATGAGCTTTGCTGGACTGCTAGGTGTTCTGACTGTCCCCTGGCACGGTAAGTGTGCTGTGACAGTGTCAGGGGTAACAGGAAAGGGAGAGGCCAGTACGGGGTTGACTCCTGTGGCAAATCGGGAATTAATTACTCCATGGCTGGTGTCATTAATAGCTAATAGCTATTAGACACAGCTATGCTAATAGCTAATGGCCATAGGAAAGAGCTGAGATGAAGCCCAAATCGAAAAGCTGCTGGTGTCCTGACGAGCACCTCTTCTGTTCTCCATTCTGTCCGACAGAGGAGGCGTGTCACGGGCATCCCCGAGCCTGGCGGTGCGACGACGGCGGGTGCATTTCTCTCAGCTGGCTCTGTGATGGCGCTGGCGACTGCCTAGACGGCTCCGACGAGGTCGGCTGTGGTAGGTACAGCGCTTACCTTCGGTCTCGCTCTCTGTTTTCATGAGCGCTGAGTAGTGTCCGCAGCGTTAGGCGAAACAAGCAAGCCACTAAACAGCCTTACGTCACATGTGTGAAACCCAGAGGCTCAACTGTCTCTGGTGTTACAGGCGACTTTTCTGCCCACTTCTCCATTGTTTCAGAATTAGCTAAAATTAAAAAAAGATGATTAGTTTTATTGATTTTTTTCTCTAACTTCTTTGGGGTGAAACGTCAGTATACAAAGTTGGGTCTGTATCTCCAATGACCACCATTGGTTCCAGGTCTTGACTTCCTATCGACAAAGCCCCTGAGCAAACCATAAGTCCCCAGTAAACAGGGCTGTGGTGTGTTGTTCCTGTCTCACCGAGCCAACCCCTGTCTCTCAGAGACAGTGACAGCATGTCCAGACCACAAGGTCCAGTGTCCAGGAAGTCCTGAGTGCTGCGATGGTTGGGAACTCTGTGATGGCTGCGGGGACTGTGAGGACGGGCTGGACAATGCCCGCTGCCCCCAGGACCACTGCCTGGCCGGGCAGTGGCGGTGCGAGAACAAGGTGTGTGTCATGGAGAGCTCGAAGTGCGACGGCATCGATGACTGTGGTGACGCCTCCGACGAGGACCTCTGCGGTGAGTCTTGCCCTCCCCTGAGCATTTAAAGGGAAGGTCGCCAGGCAGTGAAAGACACATACCATATGGTCTCACCTATAAGAGGAACCTAATGGAAAAAAACACTAATGAGCAAAAATAGAACCAGAGGCAGGGAAACAAGGAGCAGACTGACAGCGACCAGAGGGGAGGGAGGAGGAAGATAAGGGTGGAAAGAAGGGGAAGGGTGTAATCAACAAGCAGGTGTAAATGACCATGGACATGGACAACAGGGCGGGGACTGAGTGTGGGAGCTGGGGGGTGGACGGAGCAGGGGAAAGCAATGGTTGGGGGGGAGGGAATTGGGGCGATGTCATAGAACAACAACAAAAAAAGGGAAGGTTGTTCCATGGGAGCTGCTTTCTGCAAGTTGCTATTTAATTCTTGTGCCTGAGACTAACACCCTATGTCTAAAAACAGGGTGTTTCCTAGCAATTGCCAAGAGTTAGTTACCCGTGGAAACATACAGCAGGGCTCAGAGAGGAACTCTGCAGTGGCCACTCGGAGCGGGCCCTGCAGTGCATGGTTTAGTCACGGCCAGTGCCCAGAGCCTCGTAACAGATGCCTCCCATCCTGTGCAGTAGATTAGGGGAGGGGGAAATCCCTCATTAAAGATGGAATCCCCTGAAGAACTTGGCGAGCGCCACATTTCTTCCCATCGCCCACACCCATAATATGGAGGAATCTCCAGCTTCCTGGTGGACCTCACCCCCATCCAGTCTTTCCTTCCTAGAGTTAATTCTGCAATATCAACTACGTCCGGATTCTAACATTTCTATAGTAAAGTATAAACTGGGTTTCTCGAGAGAATACGTATATGTCTTAGGGCCAGTGTTGACTGATTTTAATTCCGTTTTAATTAGATCTATTTAATACTAGCTCCATCGGTGTTAATACCATTTCAATCTGGTGCCTCGAGGTCTCAACATCTTTGTCATTAAGTCTTAAGTCCCAATTCCCTGGAAACTCTGCTTAAAAAAAATAAAACTTTCTTTCCTACCTAGACCGGCTGTGGGTTGCAGAAATTGAGTTGCCCCCTCACCCATTGTAAGGGCTGTCTGTTTCCATGCCCCGCGTAATTTAACAAGAACGAACACGCATGCTTCCTTCCCGCACAGCTCCCTGTCCAGAAGGCACAGTCAGATGTGACGGAGGAAAGTGCGTCCGGGAATCCCTGATGTGTGATGGGGAAGCGGACTGCGCGGATGGAACGGACGAGCCCGGCACCTGTGGTAAGAAGCCAGTGGCTTGGTGGCTTGGCTTTACGAGGGAGGAGGGAGAGTGAGGTTCAATGACTCGGGGCCTTTGTTATCATCCGGGGCCCGCTCTGCGAGAGAACGCTGGGGCTCCTGCACAAGCCATTATCCTTCAGGGATGGGTCCCGGACATGTTACAAGCTCCCCTGTTGGCTTCGGTCTCCTGCGTGTGACCAAATGGCGCCTGAGCTGTAAAACGTTGACAGTTATTCCCATGGTGTAGCTTTAGGGAGACAGACTAGCTAAACACCTCGAATTCTGTTGCTCCTCAAATTCTGGAATAAAGAACAAAGACTTAGCCGCTGAGAAGCAAATGATTTATTCAAGACAAAATGGCAAATGCTCTAAGGAGTTAACAAAGGAAAGACCGAGGGAGACCATTTCCCAGTCAGGAGGCTACTGAGCCAGCGTCTCTGGCTTCTACATGCGTGGTTCCCACTGTAAAAATCACCCCCGCTTCGGGCTGAGGCAAAGGGAGAGTGGGTATTTGTCCCTCTGTCATTGTGTCATTTTTTCCATATATCCCTCAGTCCCCCCAAATTTTGTCTTAGACATGGGTGGTGCAGCCCCGTTAGTGCTCTTGAAGGCTGCAAAGGAAGCTTTTTACTGAAGGAACAAAGACATGCTAGGAACATAACCAATGAAATAGAGTTCAGGTTTTTGGTCCTGCACAGACAGTTCACTGGTCTTAGTAAATGGTCGTAGCCCTTCCCAAGGGAAGGGGTTCCCGTCGCCCATGAACTCTAGAGAAAATAGAGAAGAGCTCGCTGGCCCCTCCGTGGGTGGACAGTATACCAACACTGGACATTGTCCAGACTGTCGGCCTAGGAAGAAAGTCCTCCCTCCTGCTTCATGATTCCCAATGTTCCCTTTCTTGTAGTCTTCCCTCAATGCCTCCACACTCCTGGGTCAGAGGTCAAGGTCAGAAGTTATTCTTAATTGGTCTCTGTTCCTCATACAAGTGTAGAGGGTTATGACACAATAATGTGTATAGAACGTTTGATCCTCACTGCGTTCACCTGTACTGATCGCTGTCCTCTCTCTCCCAGGTAAACACTGCTCTCTGGCCAATGGGGGCTGTGAGGGGCCATGCAGTGACACCCGCTGGGGGGTCCGGTGTTCGTGCGCGGCTGGGTGGCAGCTGCAGCCCGACGGTCGGAGCTGTGGAGGTCCGGTTTCATTGGGCTCATCTAGTTTAATAAAGTCTGTATTGCATGAAATACACTTAACATGAATGAGATTCACCATTTTAATCATTTTTAAGTGTACAATTCCGTGCCATCTTGTACATTCATAATGTTGTGCGACCATCTCCAGTATCCATTTCCAGAGCTTTTTCGTCATCCCCAAGAGAAACTCTGTGCTCACTAACCAATGACTCCCCAGGCCCCGCTTCTCCATCCCCCGATTACCTCCACAGACCACGTCCTGCCTCTGTGAATCTGCTTATATTCTAGGACCACGTATAAGCAGAATCGATATTTGTCCTGTTGTGTCTTGCTTCTTTCCCTTAGCATGTCTTTGAATTCACCCATGTTGTAACATATACCAGAGCTTCCTTTCTCTTTAAGGCCAGATAATATCCCATCGTTTGAACACTTCACGTTTTGCCTACCCATTCACCTTCATGGACTCGTGGGCTGTTGTGGATAATGCTGCTGTGAACCCTGGTGCACAAGTATCTGAGTTCACAGCTCTCGGGAGTATGCCAGAAAGGGAACTGCTGGATTGTGTAGTGAATTCTGTGTTCAGTTGAACTTTTTGAGGGACGACCAGGCTGCTTCCCACAGCGACCCGTACCGTGCGACATTTCTACTAGCAATGCACAAGGGTCTCGATTTTTCCATCCTTGCCGATGCTTGTTATCATTCTCTTTTGGGGGAAATTACAGGAGTTGACTAATGAGAAAATGTTAAATTTAGCACGTTCCTTGTATGGGGCTGAAGGGTTTCTGCCATGGAGTAAATACACCTGTCGGTTCGTGGCCACGCCTGGGTTCCGTGGCAGGGGTGGCAGAACCAGTTCCGAAGTGAGAACCATTTTGTGTTCACCCTTTCTCGTTCCTTCCAGCTGACCTAAGTTACTCAGTCCTTCATGGGTCATTGTTGCCCTTTGTGAGTGGGATTATGATGCCAGAGTGAGTAAAATAAATGTCACGTTATCTTCACGACTCAGTAATAATTTGAAAAGGTTATGATGGTTATTTCATAGCACTTTTCCTTAAAAATATAAGACACTATTTTAGGCTAAAGTGTGATTAGGAGGGTAGACATTAATTGTCTTGATGCTTTGTCCTAAAGAGTAGGATTTCCCTTTGTTAAATCCCTTTCCCTTTTAAATCCCACCACCCTGACCCCTGTTCAATAGCTCCCTCTCCCCTCATGGGTTCCACCTGTGATCCTAGCCACTTAGGCAGAAAGGATACAAGAGGAGAGGCCCAGGCTTATTAGGTAGAATTGGTGTTACATTAAACAATTACTCTTACATTAAGAATTCATCAGGAATTGCAATGAGCCCATTTTAGGTAACACAACTAAATTATTAATTCTTCATTAGAAGTATGAAGCCAGTTATCTGGTCATGACCTTGGGGGGTCTTGGTTTTTCACACACACCCAGGCTCCTACAGCATCCTTCTTGGGTTACAGCTTGTTGTAGTGGTTGATTAGCCACTGAGCTTGACTTATAGTCATAATTGGATTATTCTCCTTCTGGGCTAGCAAATGTGTGCTTCTACTTTAAGATGCTGTGGTTTTGGAGGAACAACATTGGAATGCCTTCAAGGAACCATATTCCTTCCTGATTAAAACAAAAGAAAGCTCTTCTAGTCCCATGACGCATATGCTAGGGGTTCCTGCCATCTGGCTTTGAGGAAGTAGCAGCACCTCGTTTAAATTCTGCCAGTCACACCTGTGAGGCGTAAGCCTTTGTTGTCATCATGCAGGAGATGTCTCATGACACAGGAGGCCCTAACACTTGTCATTCTGAACTAGGTTGTGGCTGGCCTGACCAGTGACACATCCCCAAGAATGTTGCTAGGGTAACATAGATCAGTATTCTGTACTAAGGTCCCTATATTGGCATGTCTGCTGAACTGTATCCATGTGCATGGGGATTCTGTGGAGGCAGGAGCTGAGGGGGTTCTATTCCAGCACATGGCAGAGCTTTCTGCATAAGGAATGTCCAGTGAGCTTCTGAAAAGTGGCCCAAAGGAACAGAAATCCTCAAGTGGGTTTCGGGGCTTTCTCTAACTTTTGGCTCTCTGTCACTAGATGTAGATGAGTGCTCTACGGCGTACAGTCCCTGTGACCAGCTGTGTCATAATACGCCAGGCTCTTACTCCTGCGGGTGTATTCAAGGTTACCAGCTTTTCAACGGCACCAACTGTCGAGTTATAGGTGAGTTCCATTACCCAAAGCAAAGCCTATCCCCTGTGCCATTCTTAGCAGTAATTATAGGTAAAAGTGATGCAGATGGTTCACTTTAAGGTCTAGCGATGGAGATGACTTTATTCTTCCCATAAAAAAGCTGCTCTTATAATATTCCTTGGCCAATCTGAGTGTCCGTTGCTATGAAGTGTCTTTAAAATGACTTAGTTATTGTATCCGCTGTACCCCCAGGCATTCCAGAAACCCAGTCCGTGCAATCTTACTCTGGCCCGTGCTTCTTTAACGATGGGACCTTTACTTACTTTGGTTGTTGTGTATAAAGCTTAGAGCAGACTTCTGTCTAGGTGAGGAGGAGGGCTGAATCTGAAATGAAATAAGGCAGAAGGTTCCAAAGGTTTGTTTTAATGTTCAGAGGAGGGGCTGAGACTTGCGGTGGTCAATGGGACCTCTTCTGGATGTGCCTTAGTCCAGACCTCAGGGATAAATAGATGCTGGCCTGGGAAATGGGGCATCTTTAGCTAAAGAGAACAGTGAGAAAGAGAGTGTCAAGGTAATGTGTCCTTTTCTCTTCTACGTCTACTGCAGATGGCGCTGTTAGAATTCTGATAGCAGCAGATCGAGAGCTGGGTATCCTGGATCGGACAACAGGCACCTATGAGACTCTAATACCTATAAAGTCAAGGCCTACTTCTGTTGCCTATGACCTTGAGCGAAGCATGTACTTTTGGGTAGATGAAGTCTTAAATGTGTTTGTCCCTGGAAAACCAAACTTTGTTCCTCTCTATCCAGGTATATATCTTGATGTTAAGAGCCTTAACTTCTTAAAGCTACTTAAACATAGTGTAAGAAACCTATGTATTCATCTGGATACCTTCCTCTGTGTTTCACTTATCATGAGTCATGGCAGTACCTAAAATCCCAATTTAAGATAAGACTTTGTTGTTTGTATGCTCTCTTTGAGAGCTTTGTAGAATTAAATGCAGTTTTGGAACATGGACTCAGGCCAAGGTTGGGCTCAGGCCAAGGTTAGGCTCAGCCCCATCACTAGTTTGATGACCTTGAGTAAGTGGTTAACCCCTTTGAATCACCCTCATAAGGTGAGGCCGATAGCACTGGCCTCACTGTGTAAGTGTGGGGGTCAAACTAGACAGTGCGTGTGAAGAACTGTTTAGCATAGTCCTGGGCATGTGGAAGTCCTGTGATAGCCATGAGGAGGTAGAGTTTGTGACAATTTACCTGAGACTTTTGTAATAAATATCGCCCCAACCTGAAATCGAATTCTCTTGGGTCCCTTGGTTAGGCTTCTGCTGAGGTCTTTCTCTTTCCCTACTGCCCGGTGTGCACGGGAAGAACTGCAGTCACTCCCTGAGTGTCCTCTGGGCCTCACTGAATAGCTTGAAATCAGAAGCTGTAGAAAAGTCCTGTCCAAGTCTCATTTTTCAAGCTAAGATGGGTGTAGAAGAGTGCAGGCACATAACACTGTCTCCTGTGTCCCCAGAACTTAAAACAGTGAACAGTGTCTCTTTGGACTGGTACACGGGTCAGTTGTACTGGGCTAGCAGCTTTGCAAGGGTCATCTGTGCTGGTTTAAGCGACGGCAGAGGCTACGTCAGGATCTTGGAAAAGGATCTCGTGCCAGAGCAGCTAATTGTGTTTCCTGCAAAGAAGTAAGTAGTGTTTCTTTTGGAATATATCCAAGACCATTGCTTACCTTAGATATTTAAGTTGATAAGAGAACACTTCAACCTTTTCAATCTAGGTCTCATTTGCTCTAAAAACAATTCTCAATTTTGAAGTCTAAATTGAACATACGGAGCCAAACTTTTCAAAGTCTGAGAGCAGAAATCTCCAGCGTTCCCAGCAGGGCAGTGACATGAGGCCGGCGTGAGACAGCTGAGGGGGCCTGGCTGGTTAGAACAGTGTATGCGCACCTGAGGGGCTCTCTAATACCTTGTGCTTTGGCTTTCCTCAGGTACTTGTACTGGGTCAATCGCGGTCAGAGAGGCATGAGGACCATTGAAACTGCGGGGATGGATGGCTCCGATAGGAAGGTGCTTGTGGTTGTGAACACGGAGGAGCCTGTAGGACTGACTCTTGACCACGTGACTGGCAGGCTGTACTGGATCAGTAAACATAAAGAGGTACAATAGAGAGGTCTGGAGGCAAAGGTAAATCCTTTTAGCTGGGGCTTGGAATGACTGCGGGTAAGTACAAATTCTCTTAAGTCTTGTGTCAGCTCTGTGAAGCATCTTGTGGCCATGAAAACTGGGAAGAGCAAGTTATAATTGACCAGCATTTTTGCGCAGATCTAGACTAGATCAACGTAGGCTGGGAGTTGTAGTGTGGCTGTCTTGAACACCCTCCAGTCAAACCTAGCACTGAAGTTTCCTGGTGGTATAGGTCAGGCTCTGCATCGTATCTAGGATACTGGACCTCTTAAGATGGCAGACCACTTCTTGAAAGCATGCAGTTACTCAGGTACTTCAGTACCTTGTACTCATATTTCTAATTCTAAATATTACAGCTCATGTTATTTCATTTTTGGAAGCATCACACTAAAGGACATGGTAGCTAAAGCATAGGCTTGGAAGTCATGTTTTTAAGCCCATTACTGCTGGCTGTGATTTTGCCTACTTACTGTGCTTCATTACCCTCTCTGAGAAGAGAGAGGATCCTACCTCAGAGGGTAGTTGGAGACTGTCGGGAAAGGATGTGGTACAATGTCTGGACATAGACAATAAGTTATAGCAGCTTCTCGTACAACGTACATTTGTACAAGGAGCAGTCCCATGCACTGGCTTCGGCATTCACCTCCATGAGTCCCCCAGATGAGCCCATCCCTATCACGTGAATATCATGTGATATTCAACATGATATTTAGTTAGTGTCCAAGAAACTGAGGAGCACTGACAACATCAGCACTTGCTGCTAATGCTTCCCTGCTCTCATGAGACTCTCCAATCCCTCAGTCCGTAGAGACGGTGAACGTGGATGGCAGCGGGAGGCACACCTTTCCTGAGATCTTCTCGGAAGACGAAGATCCAGCAGGACTAGCTGTATTTGAGAACTCTTTTTTCTGGGCAAATAAAACACAGCTCTTTCAGACTTCACCCCGCATGCCAAAGGAGAGAATGATGCTGCTAAATGCTTCCGTGTCTGCTTTCTCAGTGCTCCACAAATCCCAACAGCCTAAGAGTAAGTCCAAGGCTTGCTTTTGAAATGCTTATGAGTCAGTATGTACCCTAAACAGTAAACAGAAAGTACCTAAGTTTCTATCACGGTCCGTTGTTGGAACTTGCTGTTTTGAGGCAGGGGCAATGCTCTGGGTATGATTCCAGATGTATACAGGACTTCTCAGGAAGACGGACTGAACAAAAACATCTACCAGACATGTGCCTCGTGCTTGCCCAGTGCAATGCCAGGTTTTTAATGTCTGAAATACACAACACAGGGTTACAAGCTGTTCACAGAAGGGCTAGAACAGCTCATTTGCTAACAATGACAACCGATAACAGAAAATGAACCAAGCCCAGCATTCTGCTTAGAGAAGGATGTCAAAGAGTCATTGAGCAGGAGTTAAAAGTCTTTGTCAATTTGAAACTGTATGTCAGGCTCTACTCAGAGAATGCTTCCTAATTGGGTCCAAGAAACTTAACCAAAGTGGGGATCCCAGATCACTGTTTACTTCTAAGGGAATCTTCCTATAAGCAAGCTAGACCGTCCTTTTGCCTTAACTCTGAGAGAGAAGATGTTGTTTGTTGAACCTTTGTTGGCCTAAGCTTACTGTTGACTGCACGAGAGGCAGGAGACCGTGAGTATCAAAAGGTCAGCATGCCTCGCCTGGAGGTAACGAGTATAATGGGATTCCTCCTGCCGTTAAAACAGCTAACCTCCCCTTGAGTATTAACTTTTGAACTTGTATGGATAAATACACCTGAAATCGTATCTAATCTGTTTCTGTTTTAAAATAGGCAGATACTCAGCCTGTGTTCCAGGCTCTTGCAGCCACTTATGTCTCCTGTCCCCTGTCCATCCCAAGGGCTATAAGTGTGTTTGTCCAGAGGGAATGTCCCTTTTGCCTTCAGGCACATGCAGCGGTAAGTCCGCCAGGGGAAGCGGGCCTGGCTGGGGAGGCACGTCCTGTGGTGGTCCTGGGAATGACGTAGCTTCCGTTTTTGGATCAACCATGTTTATACTAACAACCGATTTTGATAATGTTTTGTTATCAAAAGACCTCAGTTAGGTTTTATGGGGGGAGGGGCTAAGATATACATAACGTAAAATGTACCATTGTAACCATTTTAAGTAGACAGTTGACCGACACCAACTACATTCTCATTTGTGTGCAGCCATCTCACCTTCCACTTCCAGAATTCTCCATCTCCCCAAACTGAAATTCTGCACCCACTCTACTATAACTCCCATTTGTCTTTCCCTAACCCCTGGCCACCGGCACCTTAGTTCCTGTTTCCGCATTTGGTGACTCTAGGTACTTTGTATAAGTGGAATCATACAGTACTTTTCCTTTTGTGACTGGCCTATTTCACTCAACATGATGTCTTCAAGGTCAATCCACACTGTAACATGAATTTTCTTTCTTTTTAAGGCTGAATTACATTCCATTATATATACACACATACGTACTGTATTGTGTTTATTCATTTATCCATCAATAGCTATTTTGGGTTTGATTAGTTCTATAACAGGAAAAAAATGGCTTCCACTCCACAGTTTTGCATGAAAAACAACAACCAAGTTGGAAGAAGAAAAAAACCCTATACAGTTTTATGACTACGGTGTGTTCTGACTTATGTTTGAAAACAGAGTGTCCACTTCAATACTGTGAACATAGTCCTACATGTTGCTGCTCCGTCTTTGCAATATTAAAGGCTACACAGTCATTGAATTTCTCTGTCCAAATTGCCTGACATTTTTCTGCAGAACACTGAGACCTGAGGAAGAAGAAATGACATAAACGTGCATGTGCTCTACCTTTAAGCAGCACAGTTCACAGGAAGCCCCGAGAGGCAGTCATGGTGCGATAAGCCGGTGTGCCGAGACTTCAGCCTGGACTGCAGTTTGAACACTGTGTCTGCAGTTCACCACCCAAGCAACTTTTCTTTAAATGGGCAATAGAGTTTTCAGTTCTTTGTACTGAGACTTGCACGCTCCGGGTGGGGACCTGATGGTGTCACCTGGTGGAGTGGAGCAGCCCTCCAGCTGTAATGCTCGGTTTCTGTGTCCACCTCACAGCAGAAATTCAGAGGACTCAGTGCCTTGGGAAGGCTGAGCATCTCTTGCCCAAATGAGTCCTTCTCCGAGGAAGTGAGGGCGTTCTTGTTGTGTGTGTGCTTCCAGAGGGAACCTGGTTCAGGTGGAAAGGGCTCCAGAGGTGCCTCGGCTGGAGAGGGGGATTGCTCAAGGCGGGAGAATGGGGCTCATCTAACAGGTGACCAACAGAAAATCTCTCCTTTTCCCTGGTAGATTTAAAACTAGTGTTTTCCTCTGGCAAACATCTCTACTTGTTGAAAGTTAGTTTTATGGGAACTGCGATAGAGAGAACCCTAGTTCAAGAGCATCCTAGGAACATCTATCTCCTGGATGTGGACTGGAAAAGAGACCTCGTCTACTGGACAAATGCCGAGGGACATCTGTTCTGCTCCACTGGCTACTCGGGAGAGAAGCAGGAGATTTGGACGGAGCAGACAGGTGAGTTGGGGTGGCTGTTCTGGATTTGTCCTTTATTTTCTGGCACCAAAATTTTAAAAAAGCCAAAAAACCCTACCTGTTCATGATCTGAATCAAACTTAATGCCAAACAGTGGTTTTTAACTAATTGAAATATTGTGTCTTGTTCTTACGAGAGGTGTGCAGACTGTAACAGGACTACTGTGATTTGGGAAGTCCTAGGGTCAATAATAAGTTTAAATTTTTTTTTCTGGCCTTAAGTCTGAATAGGATAGATATGGACCTTAAATACTCCAATTTTGCATTGCAGATTTTCTTACACTGATTTAGAAGTAATTTGCAATGCAGATTTCAGAGAAAACTAACAGGATATTCTCTTACTATGGTAATACATACTTTCTCTCCCTTCCCACACTCCTAAATACCACACTCCACCCCGAGGCTCCCTGTTCTCAGGCTACGTGTAAACACCTCCTTTATTTAAACGGAGACCTGAACTCTCGGGTGAGTGATTCGGTCTCTGGGCGGGTGTGCCCCCGGTGCGCTGAGTGCCGAGCACTTGCCTCACCGAGAGAAGCGCTGCGTGGAGGCGCGTGTTACCACGGAGCAGCCAGCCCTGCCCAGAGTCCGGTGAGCAGCGCCGCGCCTGGCGCGTAGGACTTCTGCCCTGGAGAGCTCTCGGGGGAAACTGAAACGTCGGTGGCCCGTGACACAGCTGATGGCTGTTAGGAAACCTCTGCTCACAAATGACTTCCTACCTACTTAAAATGCCACCTTCCCCGGGCTGCGTTACAATGACCATGCCAAGGAATTGTTAAGAGGCTGCTGATTTCATTTGAGCTTCCTCTGGTGTTGAATATTCAGTCCTTGTGGTAGGTGGCTGGGAAATTACTTATATATCTATCTCTGCCTTGGGTTCCTGGAACAGAGCTTCTAAGATCTTTGCTAATTTCTTGAGTCATTGGCGCATCTGACACAGAACTCCAAAATTCCCTGGAATTTGCTGGGTGATGAGATCTTTTGTTACCATGAGCAGTTCTTGTGGCTCCTGGGTGAGCACTGGTCACCCCAAACCCAGGTCATCTTTAGAAGCTTGGAAGTTTCAGCCCCACTCCCCACCCTCTGGAGAGGGAGAAGGGTGGGAAACAGAGTTAATAATCAATCACGCAAATGTGATGAGGCCTCCATAAAAATGGGGATCAAAGAGCCCCTGAGGTGGCAAACTCTTCCAGGTGCGGGGAGGGTGGCACACACCTGCTCCATGGGGACAGAAGTTTCTGAGCTGAGACATGAGGGGTTCCCCTGTGCTTCCCTTCATCTAGCTGTTCATGCGTCTCCTTCATATAATAAACTAGCAAATGTAAATCAGTGTTTTCCTGAGTTCTCTGAGCCAGTGTATCAACTGACTGAACCCAAGGAGGGGGTTGTGGGAGCTGTGATTTACAGCCAGTCGGTCAGAGTGCAGGTGACAAGCTGGGGCTTGTGCCTGGCCCCTGCAGTGGGGGCAGTCTTGTGGGACTGAGCTCTCAGCCTGTCAGACCTGATGCTGCCTCCAGGTAGTGTCAGAACTGAATGGAATGCAGGGCCCCCCGCTGGGGTGTCAGAAGTGTGTGGTGCTGGGGCACGACCTCACACACATGATGTCAGAAGTCCTGTGTGGGAGTAAGGGAGACGCCCAGGGGTGTTTTTCCTGCACAGGCTAAACCGCTTGGCAATGCCAGGCAGCCTTTCTCCAGGTGTCAGTCAGCTCAGCCCCTGCTGCCGTGGCCCATGCACAGAGCTCAGGGCCTCCTGGCAACCACAGAGCACCAGCTTCCAGCTGATCCTCCTCGCAAGTGCACAGGCATCCGCGGTGCCTTCTCTTGGCGTGTTAATCTTGTCCTCGTACGGAAAACTGAGTCTGGAGAATTCAGATGAAATTGGGAGGGCTTCAGAATTCTGTTTTAGACAAGAGTGCATGTCTGTAAGAACCCGTGTAGAATTGCTCAAGGGCCACATTCTGTGACCCTGGGTTTTCAACCTTGAACCTGAGTAGAACCAAGGTTAAGTCTAACTCCAGACAGAGCACCTGTTCTCTGCAGATGCCAGAGCCCAACAAAGAAGAGAGAAGCTGAACCGAGTGTGATCAGTCTGTTCTTACTAATGCACCCCCTTAGGGTCATGTCTTTCCTAGACAACAGTGACGTGAGGAGTATGGGGAGAATTCAGAAGCATGATTCTAGGCAAATCCCTCCACAGGAAAACACGAGGGGTAGTATAGACGTGCTCCCACTCTGAGACCCAGGAGGCAGGAAGAATTTGTAGCACAGCACACCCTGTGTGTACCGGCTTCTCCGGCCTGTCACCCGTGGCCCACTACCACGGCCTGCCTGTCGGTCAGCCTCCCCAGGGGTTCACATTTGAATTCTTAATAGTATGCCGAGTGTGTGCTGGGATATACTCAACAACTGGCTCTCTGCGGGGAAGAGTGTGCATGTATATGCCTACATATGTTTATAATAAAGCTAATTATTATAAAGGGTGTATAGTACAATTGACAAATAATGAGATCTATGACATTCTTTATAGTAATTTTTATTTGGCCAACTCATTTTCATAGCTCGTTTTCTTATTCTGAATTCTTGGATCTTAGCCAGTCTGTAGTTGCAATTCAGTCAAGATTTGACAAGACCCAACTATGGATAAATGCTCGACTTCCAATGCCATTACTGAGTGAATGTTGTCTTAATGTGAATGTTTGACACCTGTGTTTCTAAAAATAAGTGAGATGAAAGTGAAACAATGGAGACTAGTTGGAATTAGTTCATCGAGGACAAGTGACTTATTTGCAGAGCTTGACAATAGTTTTCAAATACTAGACAGATATATTTCCTCATTTTTTTGTGGTATTTAAAATGTAACAGCACATATACCTCTAATCTGAAATACTAACATTTTCTCTGTCATTTTAAGTCTAGACCAGGAGTTGTCAACCTCTTTCTGTAAGAGACCAGAGAGGGAATATTTTAGGCTTGTAGGTTTTGCCGAGTTCTGTGCTGTAAAAACTCCCGCAGGGCCGGACCACACACTACCAATGCGACGCCCCTAAAGGTGGCGATGGGAGGGGGCATGCAGCAGCTGACCTCTGGGTCGTGTTCCCACCGCACGGATGCGGTAGGTGTCAAAAACCCAGAGCATAGGTAAGAGTCAGGTGTAGGAAAATAATTAAGCAGTGGTTTAAGGATTTTAGTTTTGTTTCAAATATGATTTAATTGGATAGAATTTACTTCTTAATAATGGTTGTATTGAACAACAAGCTTACAGAACTGCTGAATTTACCAGTTGGCTGTTGCGAGCTTGTACAAGCCAGCCCAGCTCACTGCTCTAAAAACAATGGACATTATTCTAAACTTTTTGTATGCACTCACTGGAACCCTCATAACTGCATTACGAGAGAAGCACTGTTTCTGTCGTATTAATACATTCGTGGAAAGTGGGGCACAGGGATGAACTGACACCTTACTTTGGAGGTGTCTCCAACAAGGCAGTTTGGCTTGCTAGCCTACTCCCTGTCCTAATCTTTATGCTCTCCTACACCCCAGAGTAGGTGATGTCTCGCTTAGACCTGATTGTACAGCTACCCACATTGGGCAGGATGGGAGTAGGGGGAGTGCTTTGTAGGTCAGTGTTATTCACTCACATCTAAGAAGCCACACTTCATAGCTTTTCTGTCCCTGGTCCCTACCTTATGGGTGCCTTCTGACTGTAGATCTCCTCACCGTCCACCCGTTCTGCTGACGACCTCTCATTCCACTGCGGTGACGTCCCTCTAGCTCCATGCCTGCTTTCCTGTAGCAGCTCCACTCCTGGTCCCTTGTCCTGCAACTGACTAGAGAGGAAGGGCTGTGAATCTGAGGCTGCAGATTTGCATTCAAATGCAGGCCTTGCCACTTACATATGCAATTTATAAAATGCAGTGAGTTTCTGGCCTTGTCAGCTGGTTGTGTGGATTAAATGAGCTCCTATGACAGACAGGGAGCTGGTACCAGTGTAGGCATGATGGGAAATAATCATGCAAACAAGGTGTGTAGGCTGCTCTTTGTTGGAGACTGGTCTTTACATCCCCCAATGATCTTCCTTCTACCCTTGACCCAAAGTTTAAGAAAGGGCATTGGATTGCCCTTTCCAATGGGACTTACTCTCCTCCTTACAGTCTGCTCAGCAAACGTGGACATAGCCACTGGGAACTTGTTCTGGCTGGCCTGCGACCGAAGTGTCATTCAGAGAACTAGGATTGCTGGCCCAGACACACATGCGCTCTACAAAGCGAGCAGCATCATACTTCATCTTCTTCTCGATTGGCCGAAGAGGGTGCTCTACTGGGTAGAAAGTGGAAAACACTTGCAAAGTATGACCCTTGATGGCAAAAACAGGCAGGAAGTCTGGAGAGGCACCTGGACAGCGGACATGCACATGGCCTTGGACCTCGGCTCCTCTAGTATCCTCTGGACCACCAAGGGGCTCGGTAAGCACCACGCAGCCAGTGCAGTCGGAAGGAGCCCGAGGGGATGAGTGAGAGTCTTGCTGATAGTGTAATGATTCTGGTTGTCCTTAGAGCTAGGCAGACATAAGCTCTAATTCTGCTTTCCATAGTTCAAGGCTGGACACGAGTCACAACAAACTCAGTCCTTATCTACAAGTCTAGATTTATGATTTAAAAGAGAAAATGCCAGAAATAATATTATAATGCCAGAAATAATGCCAGAAACTTAATAGCCTTTTGCAGTTTTCAAAATTTGCTTCTGCCTCTATAGAAGTGATAGAACCAAACTTCCATTGCAAATGAAACACAGGTGCTTCGGTTACAGCTTGGTAACAGGTACAAGTTATACTGAGTAGCCCAATTTGATAGTCTTCTCACTGAAAAGCCATCCCCGAGGCCTAGCAGCTGCGTGCTGATGACTGGGTGCTTTAGTGCTTGCATGGAGGATGGTAAGGTCACATCTGATGTGCCCGCACGGCAGACTTCAGCCTCTCCCTTTCCTGGAGCTTTACACGCTTCATCAGACTATCTTGAACTACAAAACTAAACCTACAAAGCTTAACAGGGAGAACCTGTGCTTATTTTCAATTTGGGGTCAGTGCACCTCGATCAAATCGTACCCCACTGTCACCGGTTATGTGTTCTGTATCGGCTTGCAAGAGCTTGACTCTTCCTTAGGGCTGCAAAGTCTAAGTCTGCTAAAAAACAGAACGTATGTTCTGAACAAGACCTGGAGTGACGGCGTGATAGCTGCCCATGCGCCCTACCTGGTGACGACGAGTGGAGCGGCTCTCGTGCTCTGGAACAGGAAGACGCTGGAGTCCTTCTCGGTGTCCAAAGAGCCACACGTGAGGAAAGTGGTCATCCTGGCCGAGAGCCAGGAGGTTCCAGGTGAGTGAGTGCTCCTCTGTGAAGTTATTCGCTGAGATCGACTTTACCTGGCTCTTCTCGGTGTGTTTTTGTAGGATAAAATTCTAGGCATCTTAATGCTTGTGTGGCTGTTGTCCAAACCCACAGTTCAGCAGGCCTTTTCCTTGCCTTGTCCACGCCCCCGGAGAGCAAGACACGAACCTGGTTTTCAAAACCGCTGAGTCACAAAAGCTCTGGAGCAGTGCTTCGAGAGGAGTCAGCTCACTGCAGCCCTTCAACAATCGCCTTTCACATTAGCTCAGTACAGCTCTGAGTCTGGCAGTGCGGAGATCCACTGAATTTGCTCTAAAGCTGTTTCCCAAACTGGTTTCACTAAGGAACCCCCTTTCTCTGTAGCCGTAACATCTTGTGGAGGACCCATGGCGAACCTGCTCTGGGGCCATGGGCACCAAGATCAGCAGTGCTCCGTTTCTGTAGAAGCTGCACCTTGTCATTCAGGTGAACCTGCCTGAGGCTGGTTTACATTTTTTTCCGCCCATGTAAGCCTTTGGCACAGAGCGCAAAAGTCTGATTTTGGACCTTGAGGCAGAAAAGGAAATCCTATCACAGGAGTCAGGGGGGCTTTGTCAGCAGAAGCAGCTAGCAGTCTGAAGGAATAGTGGACATGAAGAGGGACAGAGCTTTTCTCTTTTATGTACCCAACCATTGTGGTCTCTCATCTCCCTCTTCTGTCTAAACTGTCTTACTTTTTTAAAAAAGAAAAAGATTTTATTTATTTGTTAGAGAGTAGAGAAGGGAGGGAGAAAGAGAGGGATAAAAACATCAATGTAGAATAGAAACCTCTTTTGGCTGCCTCTCACACACCCCCAACCTGGGGGCCCTGCCCTGCAACCCAGCATGTGTCCTGGCAGGGAATCGAACCAGCGACCTTTTGGCTCATGGGCTGGCTCTCAACCCAGTGAGCCCCACCAGCCAGGGCTAAATACTCTTACTTTTTGATTCATTGGTTGGTTTAACCTGATCTTAAAGGTTAAGAAATATTAGGCACAGGAACGTATTCCTGCAGTGGTAAAGTGTGTCAATGAACAGGCAACGTCTTGGTAACAAATCCGATTTTGATTATTCTCCTAACAAATCGGCTAGGTTGCTGTGATAGTTGCTAAAGAGTATTAACTGGTAATTTTTCATAGCATAACTTACATATCTCAACAAGTGAGTGTCCACGTGATACCAGCCCCTGTCCCACACCATAGAGCCTATAGCAGGGAACCAAAGAGAGCAAGTCTCTATCTTTAGAACGTACTTTATTTTGTATTCCCAGGATATAGCATTAGGTGGTAAAAAAAATAAGATTAAAGTTAATAGACCTAAAAGGAGAAAACAATTTGCCCAAATTCAAAGCCAATAGATGATGGGTGAAAGCACCACACTCCACGCAAAGATCTCGGCTTGGGGTCGGTTTCACTTCCTCTTCCTGTGAGAGAGAGCCGTAGCTCCGCAGCTCACGGACTGACTTGCTGAAGCAACTGCTTGTTCTAGATCCTGGGGTTGAAGGAGCAGCCACAACCACCCCTCCTGCTCTTCCTCCACCGCGCCCTCTACTTTGCACCCGGTCCTCTGTGCCCTGTCGGGACGGGAAGGGATGCATTTCTCGGGAGAACCTCTGTGACGGTGGGCGTGACTGTCAGGATGGCTCCGATGAAGAGAACTGTCCCCGTTTCTGCAACAGACCAGGTCTGTCACCAACTCTTCTTCTAAGTTTTTGGGCCAGGTACCCTGAGCAACAGTATGGTCTGAATTGCCAGAGTGCTTGTCATACTCATGCTTGCTTTCCCGAGGTAAGTCACCATAATACAAGTCTGTCTGAATACTGGTTCTGTGAGCCTCCCTTGCTTCTTAGCTTCCTCACAGTTGCTTAAGTGTTCCAATATTTGCCTTCATATGGGCTGAGCCACAGAGTGACCCACGTGGATCACTTGGTAGTGTTCTAACAAGTCATTAAAAGAACCCAGCAAATGGGAGGCCATGTTTAAATAGCCTGGGCTGGCTTGCTAACTTAACTGGCCAGAACGCTATGTTAAAGCTTGCTGTGGGTCAGCTGAGGTATGGAGCTCAAGTAAGAGACAGTCTCTTGGCCCCTCAAACTCCAGAATGAGGGTGAGTGCATCTAATTTTGAAGCTTTCGTCTGAGTGTACGGTGCTAGCGTTTGGCCCTCTCCGTTTCAGGGGTCTTCCAGTGTTTGGATGGAAGCAAGTGCATCGAGGCGAAGTACCACTGCGACGGGGCCCAGCAGTGCCTGGACGGGTCGGATGAGTGGGACTGCTGGAAGCCCACTGAGGATTGTTCTCTGCGCTGCGACAACAAGACCCGCTGTGTCCCTAAGAGCTGGCTCTGTGACGGCAACCTGGACTGTTCTGACAAAAAAGATGAACAAGGATGTAGTAAGTGCCATAAAACTTCTTTGGAGTGCTTTAAACTATTTCAGCTTGATTCTCCTTATTCCTGGTAGTGAAGTCCTATGAAGTTGCCATAGAACACTGAATTCGTGGATATTGAATCGTTGCTTCTAGAAAAAACACAGGGTGAGGTTTCTGCAAGTCTGTGGGCACGTGTTTTGAACCAGTCAATACACAACATTGTTTTATATGCTTCTGTTTAAAGACAACTTAACAGACATCGTTGGCTCGTTAATGTTGAAGTCACAGCCAACAGCACTGCATCTTACATTGGGACGAAGCTTATCTGACACACGTAACTTCTCCCTAAGGCCCATCATAGACTTCTTGCACTTAGTAACCCTAGCCTGTGCGTCAGCACTTCGCCTGGGGGACATTTTAAAGAGCAAAATCATGAAAAAGTACAAAAAAGTGAAAAGCGTGGCCCTACAGAGACTGCAAGTGGGGCGCTAGGCGCAGGACGGGAAGTGAGACCAGCAGGCCGAGCGCTGCCGTGTTCAGCCTCAGCTGGGCACACGTGTGTCGGCCAACTCCACCTTTCTCCTGCTTGGTGTGTCTTGGCAAATGACACGAGATTGTAGCAGTATTGACTTCTGGGGTCACAAATAAATTTAAGCAAGAAGGTAAACGCACAAACACTGAATCCACAAGTAATAAAGATCGATTGTCGCTGCTACATAGCTAGCCGACGAAGACGAAAGTTTCCGAGTGGCAGGGACCTTGAAGATCCTGCTGTAACGTCCCCCCCTTGCATGACCAGGGGGTTTCCGTTAGTGGAAAACCAGCCTGCTACCAAAATAAGGTGTTATTTCCCAGCGAGATAAAATCACGCCCCCAAGGGGTTTCACTTTGGTCCCACGTCTTCTCGTGAGCTGGGCCGTCACATTTGCAGGAGCTGTTGCTTTCCCTTCACTTTTATGGGATATGCAGTCTTTATTTTTATTTTTTCCTAATGATATGTTTCAAAGACCATAATCATGTTAAGGGACCAGGGTAGGAGAGAGACTGGGGAGAGCGGGCGAGGCACCGTGATATGTCTAGATGTGGAGGCGACTGGGTAGCCGGAGGATATGCCTGCCCTGGGCTGCGAGGACAGCGGAGGAAACGGACACAGGAAGGAAGCAGGGAGGTGCCCGAGGTATAATTTACTCTTCAATATATATTTATAGCTTTGCCGAGGGCCTCACCCTTTTTCTTGAACCAAGCCAAGCAATTTCTGTCTATAGGAATTGAGTCTAAGAACATAAATTACAGAGTATGTTGGATATTGTGGGGAATCTCTTTTTTTCTTTTCTCACAGGTGACATTAAGGTCCCAGAGGAGAAGCCTGTTTTCCTTCCTATCCCAAGGTCCTTCCACCCCTGTCCCCCTGCCATCATTCCCCAGGACAGAAGGATTTTCTGGGCTAGTTTCGTAGGCCTTGTCTGGACTAACACTCTCCTGGAACCACCTCTCTGCCCCAACGCCTGCTGGGGCTTAGTTCCCAAGATGCCAGCACAAGACCGGGGAGTCTCTGAACCACTTTATTTGCCCTTAAATCGCTTCTACACCTGGCTGAGTTCTTAACCAAAGCTTTATCTTTCAGCCCGTGAAAAGTGCAGCGTGTCGGAATTTAGATGCGAGGATGGCCAGTGCATATCGTATTCTCTGCGTTGTGACGGGAACCGAGACTGCCGCGACCGCTCGGACGAAGACGGCTGTCCAGTGGCCTGGCCCCTGCGGTGCCCGCCGGGGGAGGTGAAGTGCCCGAGGAGCGGGGAGTGTGTGTTGGCGGAGTGGATATGTGACCACGACTTAGACTGCAAAGATGGAAGCGACGAGAAGGTAGTCACGCTTCTTTCAGAAACAGAGAGTTGGTTTCTAATCACGACGGTAACTCATGCTTCCCCATGGAACTCTTGGGAGACACAAGGACAGAAAGGTCCCCCATAATCGCCAGGCAGAAAGCCACTCATAGCTGTATCCAACTGCCAGCAGCCCCCTGTGAAAGTCAAATTTCCAAGAGGTTATTTGTTGTAGGAGACTTGCAAGTGTTAGGCCTCGGTATGACTTGAGCTGTGACTTAGATGTCCCACTCGGAGATGTGCTTTGAAGCTCTGCTTACCTGTCACCGTGGAGCACAACGATGTTCCACATTGTATGCTAGGCAGCTTGGACTTGAATCCTACTATTTGCACTTGACCTTAAGAAAGTACTTACTCTCTCATGTTGTATTTCCTCATCAGTAAAATGGGCATAAGATGTGCCTCGTAGTGTCTGGAGGGTTGAGAGTGGACCTGGGCTGTAGCAGGTACATGGTGTCCCCTTTTTTCCTCTTGTCCATCCTGCGTAAGACCTGAGTTTGCAAGTCCCATTAGGGGCAAAATCACTATTACTGTGCTGGGTGTGCATCAGACAAGGTGGGAAGAACTCTGGAGAAGAGCTGCCAGAGCAGGTCCTTTTGCTTATGCCTCTTAAATTAAGACTTCCTAATTTGACAAAATAAGACATTTCTTCCCATTTCCCACTCCTATTTGTATCACCTAGAACCCCTCACCTAAACTCCAGCTACAGGAAGAATTTCTCATAATTCCTGTCACTTCTGAGTTTCTAGGATGTACCCAGCCTTGCTGCAGAAGGGTCTTGGGGTTGAAAACCCTTCCTGGGTGCTGAACGCTGGTGTCACTGAGCCTCCCACTGTCTCCCCAGAACTGTGACCCTCAGGGGCTTCGCTGTGGCTCCGGCCAGTGGCCCTGTGCCAGTGCGGACCAGTGTGTGCCTGACTCGTGGCGCTGTGATGGACAGAGCGACTGCAGGGACGGCAGCGACGAGGCTGGGTGTAAGTGCGGGGGGAGCCCTCACTGAAGGGGGAGGCAAATAACTTCAAGGGGCTCCTGCCACTGGCTTCTGCTTGGCGTGAGAAAGCAGCTCAGCATGAAAACGCTACAGGACCGGAAACCCGTTCCTCACCAGAATGGCAGCATCTTGCCCACAGGGGAGCCTGGCTGTGCTGGTGGGGGGGGCGCATGTTGTGGGGTGGACTATAAAGGTACAAAGTCACCCTCTCCAGGCCCCCCCGAGAAGTGCCAGAGCTCTGAGTTCCAGTGCCTCTCCTCTGCCTGCCTCAAACTCAGCCTGGTGTGCGACGGGGAGGAGGACTGTGCCGACGGCTCCGACGAGGGTGGACAGTGCTCGTGGTCAGCATGCAGCCAAGCACGGTGTTCCCACACCTGCCACCCAACCCCGAGTGGTCCTGTGAGTGTGTCTCTTACTAGCGTGTCTAGCAACTGTCAACCTGGCCCAGTGCAGGGGGTGGCTTCTTTGCAGGGGCTGCCCCTGGCTGCTTCTCAAGCTCTGAGTCTCACACGGCAGAGCTGCCCTGACCCAGGCACGGGTGTCCCTGTGCCTGCACTGTGGCGGGCTCCTGGTGAGTCCTGTCTTGTCTCTTTCCTGTCTCATGCTTTCTGGAACTGGATCAGCCAGACTCCAGAAACTCTACCTCCAGTGTTCTTCCCACCCCAGCCACAAACTCTGGGTCACACTTAGGGCTCAGCCAGAATTTTTTGTGGTTGTCCCAAGAACCAAATAACCCTCCCTTCATGTTGTAGCTCAGGAAATCAAATACCTACCCACATGGAAGTCTTTTCCATGTGAATTACATGCAATGTGACCTGCCCTAACTTTAAGACCTGCCTATGTTGGAGCCTAGTTGGCTAACCATAGTAGTGACCTTGATTCTGATGGGCAAGTAGAGGAAAACTGTTCTGGTGTCTGGTCCTGGTCGTGTCTCTATTGGTGGACAGCCAGGTCCATAAGTCTGCGTGTCTCTTCACTTACTGGCTGTGTTGGGGTTCCAGGGGTCCTGTGCTGAACTCAGACACCTTTGTCAACTCAGGCCCAGGGTGGTGGCAAGGGTGCAAGGTGTGTGGCGGGGTTGCTAGGAAGAACAGAGTGACTGTATTCAAAATGAAGTTGGTCCCAAGAACCATTGAATGTATTGCCATATGCTTTCTATAGCAAGGTCAAGGTCTTTTTAGAAAAACCAGTGGTGTACTGTCTTCAGAAAGTGTTAATGTTTCTGCCAACCTCTTTCAGATGTGTGCCTGCGAGCGAGGCTTTGAGCTGGAGGGCAGTGGCCGAGTCTGCCAGGATGTGGATGAGTGCCAGGGGCCGGGGGCTCGGCCTTGCAGCCAGACCTGCATCAACACCGAGGGCTCCTACCACTGCGCCTGTCGCCCAGGCTACCTGCTGGAGCCTGATGGCCACACCTGTAAAGCAGCAGGTTAACTGGAGCTGGGAGTGTCTCCTAAGCTGGGTCACGAGCTTCAAGGTGCTAACTCGGCCAGGAATGCCAATGCAAACCTCTCTTTCTCGGGTCTTAAATGCTCCTGCCTGCTTTGTCTGTCTTTAGAGCAAGATTAGCAGAATCCCAAAGCACTCTTTTGATACCTCGTATTTCAGACCAAATTAGAGTTTGAAATTGTCTACCGATAAAGCGGTATTATAACAAAACCATAACTCTGGCCTGTGTACCCATGGGTCAGCCTTACCTGGAGCTAGAAAAGTCTCTGAAGTCCTAACTAGCACATCTTTCCTGCCCACTTACCCCACATATTTAGTTAGAAATGTGATGTTCAATTTAAGCTAATTATGCCTTCATTCTATGTATCCTCACATGTGGGTATTAGCTTGACCATTACACGAGGGAAGAGTGACTTATCTGTCAGAGGGCTGGCATCACAGCCCTGGCCACCCCAAGGCAGAGACTCCTTTGACCTCTAATTCCCTGGCCAGGGCTGGGGGTCACTGCCAGAACTCCCAAAGGCCATACTGAAAGCGGTTCTTGTTCAACAGGGACTGAACCAGTCCTGCTCGTGGCAATTCAGTTTAACCTGCTCCTCTACGGACTGAGGAGCTTGAAAGAAGATATTCTGGCAACGACAGACAAGAACCTGACTATTTTCTCCATTGACTATGACTTGCTGGATCAGAAAGTCTTCTGGACAGATCTCGGTGCAGAAAGCATTCAGTGGCTGAGCATGGACACCAAGAAGAAAGGGACTGTAGTAAAAGGTAGGTCCCTCGCCTTTACCAATACACATGGCATGAAAAAGAAAAGGAGTGGCCATTAACGCTCTAAACATTGCTTTAATTGCATCTCCTTAACTAAAAGGGATCCAGGCTTGCTCGTTGGTTGAAATGGAAAGATATCGATACAGTGTCATCTCAACAGACACAGGAGTTGGCCAAACTGGCAGCCAGTGGCCACAGGAGTAATGGCCGTCTTCCTCTACAAATAGCACTGTGGAGCATTTGAGAGGAGGCTGCTCTGGTGGAAATGCATACACCAGTTTGAAAATGAACCGATGTGGCATCCTAGCCTGATGCACAGTCTGAGCTGAAGGCCAGTAAGAGCTTTGATTTAACTTAAGTGCGCATGCTGAATGGTTTCCTCTCTTCAGGAATAAAGTCAGACTGCATAGCGGTCGACTGGATTGGGAGGAATCTCTACTGGACAGATGGGACAGCTGGCCAGATTTTGGCAATTCCGTTGACTGCTGTCTGGAGAGGAAAACCTGAGTACACGGTTGTCCTGGATGACGGCTTGAATCAACCACGGTCTTTGGCGTTAGACCCCCTAAATGGGTGAGTCTGGGCTTAACAGTGTCCGGTCAGATCCTTGAATTTTGTTATTCTTCCTTAGCCCTTCTTTGGTTCTATTCACTCAACACTGAACAAGTGAAGAGAAACCTTCTATGACTTGACTTTGTATTTTATGGTGACGTAGGTCAACCACACGCGTAGTAAGTTTGAAAGCTTCTGGAAAGAGTCATTTATGTCGGTAAAGTGAGATGTGAGTGTCTCACTTGGTGGTCCACCTATGCTTTCTTTTGACAAAATAAACAAAAATACCCCTGAATGGAGAATTTTTGTGGCTTTCAAATTGCAGGAGGAAGAAGAGTGGGATGAGGGATAGTATTTACTTTACAATAATGTGCTTGGGGGTGGGTGGGTAGAATAATTGTGTCTTGGAGTTGAACTTGGGTTCTTCATCCAGAGTCCTTTCCCCAGGAACCTAGAGATGACATTTCCCACGTGGCAGAGCCACAGGCCCTCATTGGGGTGGCCACATGTATCTTAAATGAAAAAATAAGAAAGAGCAAAACTCAGGACTCAAAATTCAGGATTCAAAGAAAGATAAAACTCAGAATAGCAGATTGGGTATCCTTCCTCTATTTTTCTCACCTTTTGATACCTTCAGCCAGGAGCCTGTTAACACAGAAATCAACTGTGTGTGTGATACATCTCCTGGCTGCGGCTGCGGCCAAGAATAAAGCCTGAGGCACATGACTGCCTGGAGAACTGGCATACTTTCCAGTCCAGAAAAGACTGTCAGCTTCCCTGAATATTTTCTGTGGTTTAAGCACTAATGTATGTCTAGCCTTCGTACACAACTTTTATGATATTTTACTCCCAAATGATGACTAAACAATCGCTATAAAATATCAAGAAAACCTCTTACCACATCATAATTATGCTCAGGGAATAAACCAAGTTTACATTTTTTTACATTTTAATTTAAAGAAAAACTAATTGGGCTGCAGATCACTGTGTTAAGGGATGAATAGATGTCATTTTCTGCGAGATAACGCTTTATCCCAATGCTGACTTCTGTTCATATAGGTTAATGTACTGGTCTGAAAAAGTCGGAGGAGAGTCTCGCATAGAACAAGCTGGAATGGATGGTGGCAACAGAAAAGTGCTCATCGAGCAAGGCCTGGGCTGGCCAACTAGCATCGTTCTGGACCAGCTGAGTTGGAAGATGTTCTGGTCTGACGACAAATTTCACTGTATCGGCTCTGCCAATCTAGACGGTACTGGTGTTAGCGTAAGTGCTGTTTCGATATTAGACTTATCTGAAATGCCATGGGCTTTGTGTAACTCTCATCCCGGAAACCTCAGCTTCACCATTTTGTTTTATTTTATTTTTAAATATTTTGTTGTTGGTGCCATGCCAGTTGTCCTGATGTCACTTCCCCCGTTTTAGATGTTGCAGCTAACGCAAATCAAGAGCCCCTTTTCCGTTGCTGTGTTGGAAGACGAAGTCTTCTGGTCTGAAACAAAGACGAGAACAGTGCAGCGTATGCAGAAGCTGACTGGCAAGAACAGGGCCGTGCTCGTCAAGCGTTTTGAACAGCCTTACGGACTCAAGGTCTATAACATACTCTTCAAAATATCCCCTAATTCTCCCTGATAGGGCCACATGCGTGAGGCTGCCCGGAGTGCAAACTCGAGTGACGTGTTCATCAGCTGTCTCTAAGGATTCCACAATGCCTATTTCTTCCAGGTGATGCACGAAGTCCTGCAGCCCAGGTCCTCCAACCCTTGTCTGGACACTGGGTGTTCTCATTTGTGCCTTCTGAGCCCACGATCCAAGGGAAGCTGTCGTTGCCCAGTCGGACTCCTGCTTGCAGATGACAGTGTCAGCTGTGTCCCCGTCAAGGAGTCTGCATTTCTGTTCCTGGCGTTGCCCACAGTTATCACACAGGTACTGCCCACAGCCTTCCTCGTGCGTCTGTGCGCGGCTGCGTTCTCTTTCACACTGAGGAATCTGAGCTCTTCATGGGCAGTTATACCTAGCAGAGGTTCTTTCCCTTGCATGTTCTTCAAGTGCAGCTTCAATTTTAGTATTCACTGTGTGCTGGGAGCGATCATGACCAAAATAAAGTAGCTATGAAATAAGGGTGACTTCTATGTAAATTCCATTAGGAAATGCTTAGCACATCAGAACATACTGAAATCACTTTAATTCAGTTTAGACACCTTTGTTAAGTTGCCCAAGCACCGAGATAATGATGCAGAGGAATTCCAAACACAAAGAGCTCGGCTCAGTTCTAGCCCGGGGGTCGGGGGCAAGTGCATTTTGTGAGGGCACTTTTCTTAAATCACAGGGGGACAAGAGGCTCTGACAGGCATGTCACCCCTAGCTTCTAACATCTAGAGGACTTGGCATTTTACAAAAAAAAACAAAACAAATTTTGGTCTGGAAGATAAACTCTAGCTTCCTTAAGATCTTAATAGTAGAAGCTCATTTAAAGGGGAGGGCCCTGAAGAGAGGGGTAAATCTTCAAAACACCCAAATTCAAGGAATTTAAAGTGCTTGAAGCCCCAGGAAAGGGGAGAAATAACTGCTATCTGCTTTTCGAAGATAGAACACATAAAAATCTGAACTTAAGTATCTTACCATTAATGCAAAATCAAGGTAATGAATTAGGCTATACTCAACTGGTATCATCCACCTAACTTTTTTTCTGTAGATTTATCTGAAAAACCTAGAAGCTTTACTGGAACAAGCAACTTTACCAGAACATAGGACACTTCCCTTCACCAGTGTGAACCAGCTGGCCTCAGTGGACTACCTGGTCCAGGAAAAGGCCCTCTACCTCTCAGAGTTGGAGAGTGGTGATATCAGGCTACTGAGGCTCAAAGAATCCGGAAAGCTCTCTTGGAGGAAAATCCTATCTGTGGTGGGGACAGTGATCGACCTTGCTGTGGACTGGTTGAGTGGAAACATATACTGGATTGACAGTGAAAATCCTCATATCCATGTAGTTTCATCTAAAGGCCAGTATTCCACTGTCGTGTTCAGCGAAAACCTGCACCGCCCGACCTGTGTGGCGCTCCATCCACCTACTGTGGTCATGTGTTTTGTGGATCTGCGTCCCCAGGGCGACGGTGGGCGTGGCTCCAGCATTGACTGCGCCTTCATGGATGGCAGCAGGAGGAAGGTGCTGTGGCAGAAATCCCAGGTCCCTGTGGGTCTGACCTTTTCAGATTCAGGAACTCGAGTATACTGGGCTGATACTGGTAATTATTGCCTACACCCTAAATGTGAGTCTGAGGGACCTTGGCCAGAGTGAAGTGGAAATGGTCAGCCTCCTGATCTTCAGCCATAATTTCAAATAGCTTTTAAGTCAGAGTTTATATTTTCTGTACCACCTTCCAAATAAATATAATTCCCCATCCTGAGTGGCATGTATCACCCCACAGTGGTGCAATAGCCCCTTTGTGAAGGTGTAACCTGGAGAACGTAAAAATGCATATGAGCAAGTCTTTGTGCAGCATCGTTGGGGAGAGTGAATGAAGAAGAGCTGGCCTTCAGGGAATGCATGGCTGACGGTCTCCTCCTGGAGGGGTGGCAGGGCCAAGCACAGCTGGTTGGGCGAAGTGAAGTAAACCGACCCTCTTTCTCTAGGGAGAGGACTCATAGAAAGTATTCAACAAGACGGCTCTAGATACAGAGTAGATCGCAGAGGAATCCGGGGCCTTAACCTCTTTGCTTATGGCCAAGGCATGCTGTTCTGGACAACGGTTGATGATGGTAGGTCTTCATTCTATATCTGATTGTCTTTGTGATCTGCCTTTACTCCTGGGTATCCAAAGAGATTCTGCTACTGCTTAGCCCTGCTCTTTGTCAATGTCTGGGAAAAATTGCTAAACAACTTCCCTAATCTAACATGTATGTGTAACAGTGATTCTGTGCCCTGGGGGAGCTTTAACTTCTTGGGCTATTTTTTGCATAGTCCATTTCTGCCTGAGATTTCTGGCATTCATGTGAGGCTTCCTGCTTTGGAGGACACCTGATATAGTAGAGAGAGAACTGGACCGGAAAATGAAAGTAGGTTGTACCACGGCTCTGCCAGTTTGTAGTAGCTAGTAGCTGTAACACCTTACCTGTAAAAGGAAGACAGTCCCTGCTTCAGCTGACTAAATGCAGCATGACAATACTAGGTGACTATGGAACATTTTCCACTTGCAGAGCATTTCTAGTATATTCGAAGAGATTGTCCTAAACTCAAATACTCTAGTATAGTGATTTTCCACCTTTTTCATGCCATGACACATAAACCAATTCCTAACATTTTTTAACACATCAAAAAATATATTTTTGTCAGTCTGACAGAAAAAGCTATAATTTGATTCATTCACACCAGATGGCTACTGTTGTTTTGATTGTCATCATTTTTTTTATTTAACAGTCGAAGAGAAAAGAAGCCAGTGCCGCTGACGAAATAGTCAGGGGTTGCATGTTTGGAAAGTTCTTGTGGTGCACCAGTATGCGGTGGCACAGTGGTTGAAAATTGCTGCTCTAGTATATTGTTTCTGGCTAGAACCTAGATTTGCTAAAAAAGGGAAACACACAGCATATGTGTTTAAAATAAACCTGTCTCTTTACATTTCCAAATTCTGGTCCATTGACCAGTTGGGCTTGGCCACATCAGCCTTTCAAAGACAAGTTGTCAGATTCTACCCCAGAGATTCTTCTTCTTCTTACTAGGTCTGTGGGAAGACCTTTGCCATCTATTTTAAGATTTTGTAATGACTCTTGTTGCAAATAAGCCATTTTTTGAAATGGTCTAGAACAATGTTTTAATTTATTATCCATCAGTTGTATGGGCTGGTTGAAGTTGCATATATCCTAATTTCCTATCTTTAGATATCGGGACATACATGAATGACTCAACATAGCTTATTAATACCTGTTTTAATTTTGGAAAAGGGTATAGAATGTTTTGTATTTATCTGAATTTTTTTCTGAGAAACAAGATTTAGGAGAATACATGCCTCATCTCTAAAACTCTTGTTATTCAACTGGAGTTTGTGCAAACAAGTGACAGTTTTCACGTTGAGCAATGTTTTTTGCCCAGGAAGCTGTCTTAAAACCTCACTTTCATTAATGATTGTTCACTGGCTTTTGTTTCAGCCCAAATCACTAAAGTTTGGTACAGTGAGGCCGAACTTTCAGAAAACCGGTGGTTCGAAGTAGACCAGAAGATTGTGGATTTAAAAGTATACAGTAAACTTCGTCAACAGGGTAAGTAGGTAACTCCACAATGATTACAACACTGAAGTCTACTGAATTTCTTCCTGGAGACAATAGTCCATCCTTTGTTATCTCTTCAAAATATCTTTGTGTTTTCCATTAAAATATTTTTCTGGCCAATTCCTATAGATCTTCATAACTCTCTGGTCTCTCTGCAGTTATATGCAGTCTGGTTCTAGTCTCTAACTAGTTCTGTTCTTTAGTAGAAGATGTACTAGTGGTAAGTGTACATCTTCTAGGTGCACGGGACTGAAGTTCGGGCTGGACTGGAGCTTGGTACACTTGAGTCTATTTTTAGTTCTCTTATTATGGATTAATTACAACGGTGGTATAATTGTGGAAAATCCACTTTCAGCTCTAAAGTGGAGCCAGTCTTCATGCTACTCATTGTCACTTGTATCTACTTGTGATGTCATCTAATTATTGAAGTATCAAACGGAGGTGGCGCTCAGATGTTTTTCTCCACCTTACTTATAGACACAAATAAGGCACCTGATTGAGTGTTTGGGGAGGGTGGTGGTGGGCTCGGTTGAAGTCATAATAGAAGAAATCTGTTCCTAGTGGAGATTAGTACCATCAATGTGAGCTCAAACAGTTAATCACGCCTACCTTTCTCATGGTTGTTGAGTATACATATCAGGCTTAAGAGAATGCCGCTCCATTGCTTTGCTCTTGAAAGCTAACTTTTATAGTTGAATTAGTTATGCTCAATCCTAAAGTCTTGGCTTTGTGGGGAGAACCTTTTCAGAATTCTTCAGTGTGACAAATGGTCACATCACAAATTGATCTTCATCTGTTGCTTAATTCTAAGAACCAGAATTAAGGGGGGCCTTTGTCACCCTTAAAGTAGGTTGTATCTATACTATATACACACCTATTCCACAATTCCGGGAATATCTTAAAAAGTAACAACTTGCTAGAATTTAAATCTTAAGATAAAGGCTTTGGAGAACTATGAGCAACTATAAATGGCTGGCTCAGTCAGACTCTTCTCCAACTCCCCCCGCACCTACTGCCCACATTCTCTGGCAAGTGCCAATCTGTTCTCTCTGTACAATTCTCAGAGGGACCATGGGGACCACAGCCCCCATAGTTTCATCTGAGGAGTGATTTATGTGTAAGACCCTTCTAGTTCCAATGTTGGGTGGTTGATGTGAGGGGAGGAGACAATTCACAATGGGGTCTTGAATGAACTGCAGTTCACCTCAGTTTTTCTTAAGCCCGTCCCTAGTCTGAACTCCTTGTTTTCTAAAGCCATGCTTACCCGTGGAGAAGAATCACCAATTGCTTGGTACCCAGTTGACTAAGAGGAATTAAACTGCAGAGCTGTCTCCTCTGGGGAAATATCTGGGTCCTATCACTCTGACAGTGTATCTGCAGAAAATTTGCAAAAGACCCTTCGGGGAAAAAAAAATCTAAATTGGTATATTTGCGGGGCGGGAATCCACAGGTAGTCACAGCTGCTCAAACGACAATGGAGGATGTAGCCACATTTGTTTACCGAAGCCTGACGGACAGACCTGTAAGTGTTCCAGCGGGTACTACTTGGCCGACACAAACAGATGCATTGAAGTTGTCCGCTGCTCTGCGCCATCACAGTCCTGTGAGGACGGCCGGACATGCATTTCCCCGGAGCAAGTGTGTGACGGCCGTGCTGACTGCCTGGATGCGTCCGATGAAATGAGCTGTGAGTAATTCCTGTTCATCGCTGTGAGTGGCTGGCTTTTAGTAACATCGAATTTGTCAATACTCCTTAAGCTTTTATCCTCTCAATTACTACCTCGTTATCACTGTGTCCTCTTTAAACTGAACAATAGGAAACTCCTAGTCTGGGCAACTGGACATGGAGTACGGGAACCCCTTGTGGAAAGCTAACGTGCCCTCTGGTTTGATTTTAGAGCAGGCAGTGTGATAGCGAGCTGCAGTGGGATAGTGAACGGCCAGTCTGTGTGTGGTCCGAGAGAACACACGTTTCTCCTACGTTTGACTCAGCCCGTGTTTGATCACTTGGTAGGCACAGCCCAGGGGAAGCCGGTTAGGCAAACCATTTGACCTCTCTTGGCTCCCCCTTTTCCATGTGGAAATAGCACTTTCTACCTTACAGAGGTGTTAAGGAATGTAAGAGAATGTGTATAAAGCTGTCATGTTAGTACTTAAATGTTAACTGTAAATGGCCGTTATAGCAATACTGTGCCAAACAGTATGTTCATGGGAAGGTGTGTTCACAGCCAGTCATCTGAGCAACTACAGCTCATTCTGCCTGTAGCCACCCTCTCCTAATGCTATAGCTGTATCCCCAATGGTATCCAGGTCCTCTAAGCTACAGAACTGGCGAGGCAGTGGACGTGGTACTGAAACTGGTCATAACTACTAAAGAAAAAAATTTAGAAAAGTCATCTTACAGGAAAGTGTTCTCACTGGCTTCTCAATTTCTCATCTCACCCTCTAAAACCCGACCGGCTGGAAGACAGATGGTGCCCCTACTCAGTTCATCCTAACTAGGACAGAGAACGGATTTTCCAGGGTTGATCTGATGGTCTTGTAAATGAGGGTGGTTTTGTTGAACGCCCTGTGTTGGCAGTGAGTCACGGGTGGGGAGGCAGTGATTGAGGCATTTATCATCCTCATCACCTGGTTTTAAAACTAAACCAGAAAATGGACATACTTGCACTTGCTCTCCCATTCCTGACGACTAGGCCCAATAGTTAACTCCGCTCCTTGATAATGATTTCACCCTGACTTTTGCATCACTTTTTTGGAGAGGATTACTGAGTGTGCAAAGTGACGCTGGCTTCCTCCAGATATGCCTTACTGTGAGGGACCCTAAACTGCCCGGGACGGAAACACTCCAGTGAGCCAGGTGAAGGCGGAGGCAAGACGCAGTTTCATTGCTGATCTGCAGCCTTCCCGCCCTGCAGTTTGGTCTTCAGTGTTCACGTGAGGGTAACGCTCACGCCGACAATAACAGACAGCACAGTGAGATGCCTTAAACAGACTTCGCTGCACACTCCTCTGTGGTCAGAAGCACCTTGTTGCCTACCCCCTGCCTAATGTGCGCCCCTCCTACTACCACCACCGAATCTGGTTCAACATTTGCCACGTGTAGATCTTGCTAAAATTACAGTTTACTTGGACTCAAAAGGCCAGATAGCTCCGGTGGTTAGAGTGTTGTCCCCATTGCCGAAGTCCCCATCGCCGAGGCTGGGGGTTTGGTCCCGGCCAGGGCACATACAAGAATCAAGCAATGAATGCATAAATACGTGGAGCAATAAATTGATGTTCCTCTCTCTAAAAAAATTCTTAATAAAACGTTTTAAATATTTACAGGTAAACTTATATTTGAAAAGTCTTTCCAGTCTCTACATTTACTGTTTAAGTCTGCCACACTGGTGCTCACAGAATAAAACACTGTCAGTGACAGGCTCCGCCTTGGCTAAACCTGCGCGGACTTTCCTCTAAGAGTACACCGCTCTGATCGATAGGCTGGTCCTGAACCAGACGTGTTAAGTGCTGTAAGATAGGCAGTTCTTAATACAAATTTTAATAATTTTTTTTCCTTTGGCCAAAAGTGATGAGAGTGATTTATGATTTTATAAATTCAGCCTCATCTGGTTGAGTCCATTAGAATTCTTGTTCTTTTGAAATAGCTCTTAGCTGTTGAATGTACGTGTGTATACCCATGCCCCCACCTGCTGTTTTTGTAGGCACCTCTCCAGATAAAACCCATTCATCGCCCACACCTGAAAAGCTGGAGGCTGCAGAAAGGGTCACCCCTAAAATTACCCTGCATCCCCAGGCTTCCGAGCCCCCCGAGGCTACTTCCCAGGGCCCAGAAGGGATGACCCATCCTGTGAGAAAAACACTGATCCCTCCCATCCTTGGTCAAGAAAGCAAGACCTCAGAAACCAAGGAAAGAGAGAAGCTTGTTCAGCCCAAGGACTCACAGAGGACAAAACAGCTGCCCTGTAGCAGCGATTTCTGTGACGGGAGGGGCATCTGCACAATGGAAGGGGAGCTGAGAAAATGCAGCTGTCTGGTGGAAAACAATGGAGAGGTCTGTGAAGAGGCAGCGCGTGGGCCAGCCCTGAGCTACATCACCCTCGGCTCAACCATCGGCCTATCAGTTGTCCTGGTGGCTCTGGGAGCGTTTGTGCATTTCAGAAAAGACCGTAAACTAAAAAGGTGAGCAGCTATTAATGTCCTCATGGGGGAGTGTTATTCCAAAGAAGTTGCTTATAAAATAAGATGAATGGGGTTGGAGGTATTTGTCCACTCTAGAAAGGCTGAGAAAGGCTTTATTTAGTCGATGAAGCAGCCTCACCTGTTAGATGACTAGAAAAGTAATAATTGGGATCATCTTTTCAAGTGGTACCTGGGGCAGATACACCTGCCTCAACAGTTGTCAGGGTCCCAATCTCCAGGATGCGGGGAGGTGACTCCCCACTGATGAGGCAGAGTTAGTCCAACAGCTGGAGGAAAAACTTGTTAAGAGAGGTGTGTTAGTTTGCTAGAGTTAGTCCAATGGCTGGAGGAAAAACTTGTTAAGAGAGGTGTGTTAGTTTGCTAGGGCTGCTATAACAAAGACCACAGACGGGGCGTCTTCAACAACAGAAATGTATTTCCCCACAGCTCTGGCGGCTGGAAGTCTGAAATCAGTGTGTCCGTGGGGTTGGTTTCTTCTGAGGCTAAGGGCTGCTTTCTCCTCCAACTGTGGCTACAGACGTCTCTGTGACCCCCCATGGTCTTCCCTCTGTGCGTGTCTGGGGCCCACTTTCTTCTTCTTATAAGGACATCCGTCACATTGGACTAGGGCCCAAACTCATGACCTCCTTTTAACATAATTACCTCTTTCCAAATTCGATTACATTCTAAAGGAATGGGGTTTATGACTGAGACATTTGAATTTAGAAGGGGTATCTCTCATCCCGCAACAGGAGGTAAAATAAACTCAGGAAAGACTTAAAGCAAAAGCATCAAGTTTTGTCAAAGAGCAAGAGAGTCAGTGGATTAAAGAAACAAATACGAACCCTGGCTGGTGTAGCTCAGTGGATTGAGTGCAGGCCTGTAAACCAAAGCATTGCTGGTTTGATTCCCAGTCAGGGCACATGCCTGACTTGCAGGTCAGGTCCCCAGTATGGGGTGTGCTAGAGGCAACTATACATTGATGTTTCACTCCCTCTCTTTCTCCCTCCCTTCCCCATTTCTCTAAAATAAATAAAATCTTAAAAAAGAGAGAAACAAACACAAATAATGAAATGATGATTTAGTGTAGGAATGATGACAAAATAAACCGTAGCATATCAAGATATAGTAACTGAAGACACTGATCAGATAATCAGACATTAAACAGACTATGCATCAAGAAACGTAGAAATGATGAAAGTTTTAAAAGTTCCATCTCTACCCAGCCTTCAGTTTACAGGATGAATGTCAGGGGAAGTGATTTGTCTTTGTCCAAGGTAACACTGGTTAGTTAACAGCTAACTGGTTAATATTAAGATACTGAGATGCTACTCTTGGGAATTCTGATTGTCACCTCAGTTTTTTTTAACTACATTAACTTGCCAGTTACTGTGTTCATTTGCCACTGATCTGTCCTTGGATTCAGTACTTATTGGCCCCAATTACCTAGTTCCCCTCAATTGAGAGATGTATCAACTCAGGAGTTAAATGAATACTTAGTAAGAAATAATAATTGACTTGGGGGTTGCCCATTCTAGGTCGTTTGCTTCATTAAAGAGACAATTAAAACAGGATATAATTAAAAAAAAATCCTGTGGTGGGGACAAGTTGGCCCTTTTTCACCATTCGCCAATCCCAGCTTCTAACTCAAGGGGCAACTCTTTTGACTTTGTTTCTTTGATTTCTAGAAACACGACAGCCTCATCAAGAACCCTGGCCAGCCACAAAGAAGATGACCAAGAAGGAGAGAATCTAATGAACACTGAGACTTTCGTCAATGAAGCCTATGATGAACAGGTATGCCTGCAAGTCTCTGAGGAGAACCAATTCTTGAGAGACAGTTAGAGAAGGACCCTTCTGAAAGCTCCTAGCTGGGTGAAAGCCGGCGGCACGAACTAGAGAATGATGCTATTATGTGTGTCAACGGAATGGCCAGCAACTTTGTTGTCTTTAGACTCTATTCCATCCTTAGTTGTTCAAACCAAAATGAGCCGTGCATGAGAGAGCAATCAAGAAATTTAGCTCTTGGCAGACTTCCACGAGTTCAGTACTGCTGCGGGGTGGGCTGTGGGAGGTGAGCAGGGTTAGTGGGAGTTACCCCTAAAATGTACCACTCCCTGTGGTCTCTTCTAACTTCTGTGCAGTTCAACCAGCTCTGTGCTTTTGCTTTGTTTTAACATAGAGCCTATTCTCTAACTTCATCTCTCTTTCCTGGCAGGTGTTGTTAACCTCTGTGCAAACTGACTAATCTGATGATGAAAAAAGAAAAAGAAGGAGCTGAGAAATCGCAATACAGATTGTTTATACATTTCATTGTGAGCTGTTCTAACTTCTGGAAGAGTTTATGGTCAATGGTCACTCATTATTAAAATAACTGCTCTCTGGATTCGGAGCGGCCATCGGTTTTGTCAGTGGGTGTGGGAAACAGTTCCATCTTCACGTAACGTAGGCCCCGGCTTATCAGCAGAAACTGTCTCATCTCGCTGCTGGCCCAGGACCAGTCAGGAGCTCTGGATTTGAATCTTGGCTCTGACACTCACTTTGAGCCAGTTAATCTCTCTGAACCTGTTTCTCCATCGTACACATGGAAACAAGTTCCCTTGAGTCTTTGCCTTTCACGCTGAAGGCCAGGTTTCTGCAGTGCGGCAAATGTGGATGTGTTCGCTCCCTACCGTTCCCTCGCTCAGATACAGTTTGCCGCCAAGTCGGCACTCACTTTTTCTGAAAAGTCATGGAATCAATGATTTTCTTATGCTCTCAAGTGACTCTAAAACTAAGTACAGGTGGACTACTTTACAGATGTGGAAACTCAGGTGAATGACTGGCCTGCCTTCTTTGCAGTGCAGTGGGTGGGTCCCATGGGCAGCAGCAGACACAGTGGTAGGTGTGGGCCAGGAGGACTCATCCCAGCTGGCTCTTGCCTGAGGGGCAAACATGTAGGCGCTACTGGGAGCCCGAACTCCCTCTGGCTGCTCTCCCTCTGCCTGCCTTCCTGAGTCTGCAGCAGTCACACCCACATAAGCAGTCAGGGGCACTGAATCTGTGATGGGAGACTGGTAACAAAGCAGGAGTGTGGTCTGAAACTCGGTGGTAGCAACCATGGGCAACTCACTCAGTCATGAAACTGTTTCCCCGAGGATAAAAATCAGATTAGCAGAACCCACACCAGGCCGATTGGGCACCAAATGGAAATATGAACAATGCCTGTACACTTTGCATCGTACTTGAATCTGATAATGTGAGTCTCAATTGTAATAAACACAACTTGACTTGGAAGACTTTTCTTGCTTGGATCTTTTCTAGACTATTCCTATTTAGTTTCTTACAGAATGAGTGTACATAGGCTTTCGTGCATAAAGAGAAGCCCTAGGCTTATTACTGTGGGTATAGTACAAAACATAAATGGTGCTTTGCAATCCAGTGTACAATGTCCCAAGTAGGAAGCAACCTCCCCGAGGAGCAATCGCTGGGGGCCCCGCCTTTCTGAGGCTGGGAGCTGCAGCAGCACCCTGACCTTGCGGCTGGGGCTCAGCCGTCTTTGAGAGGAAACCATTTTAGCACCATGTACGCCCCACCCTTCTCATCCACAGGGTAAATCTTGGGTTTATCTCACTATTGTCTCCCAAGAGCCACCCCCACAGCCAAGTTTTCCCTTGGCAAGGCTCTGCCTCCCCCTGGGCAAAAGTGCATTAAAATGACACAGAAGAACCCACGTCAAAGGCACACAGGAATGAGGTACAACAGTACTGCCACCTTCTCCGGACATGCTTACGCCGCTGCTGACATCTCCCTTAGGCCTTGTGTGGGTGTCAGCAGCTCAGCCCATTTCACAGGCTCTGCGGAAAAGTGTCCCTTCCGAACCCACCCTTCTCGTCCGCAGGTCTCGTTTCCTGTTTGGCCCGAGAAACTCCCCCTTGTTTCCTCTCCCTGGGAGAGAGAGAGCCCACTGCTGCCAAGTCTCCCAGAGGATCCTGGACGCACCCCTTCTCCTCACCTGCTGCTTATTTATATCCTTTCCGATCTCTGGTCGCTTATGGATGTATGCCTAAGCATTGTCCTGCGTGAATCTAGTTTAACGTGTCCCATTATGCTGTCCCTGTTGAAGAATTCACACAACATACTTGAATGTCCTTCTCCCCAGAAAGGCTTAATTTCCTAAATGGATACTTAAAATTTTATACTTCATTTCTTTTTTTTTAATTTTATTTTAATCATTGTTCAAATACAGTTTTCTCCTTTTTACTCCCAATCCAGCCCCCGCTCCCTCCCCTCCCCACTTCCCTCCCATTACCACCCTCCCCCTAGTTTTTGTCCATGTGTCCTTTAAGTTTGTTCCCATGAACCCTTCCCACTGTCCCCTGAAATTCCCTCTACTCTCTTCTGTGGGCACTGTCAGCCTGACCTCTATTTCAGTGTCTTTGGTTATATTTTGCTTGTTTCTTTGTTTTGTTATTTAGGTTCCTGAAAAATATGGAACACTTCAGGAATTTGCGTGTCATCCTTGCGCAAGGGCCATGCTAATCTTCTCTGTATCGTTCCAATTTTAGTATATGTGCTGCCGAAGCGAGCACTATACTTCATTTCTAATCATCTCTCTCCTCTACACTGGCGGTAACATGTCATCGTGTCTGTGTGGAGCAGAGGCATGGTTTCAGCCTTAAGAGCCTTCCATTGTGATGGTCCCTGTGTAAGGTATTGATTACCTGCTTAATTTCTCTCCACTCATAGGTGGAGCAGTAAGCCTGTAGCAGACATTAAACGTGAATTTCCTTAGAAGAACTCAACTTCTTTAACCTGGTCATAGGACTGAGTGTCCTTCTGGAAGAACAAGGAGATTTAGAAAAGTTCATTGACTCTTGCCTTAGGCTCAAAAAGCCCTACGCAAAACTTGAACTTTTGTGTCTGTTGTTAGCAATTACGAGTTAAATGAAGCGCTTTATGTGTATGGGGGACAGGCCATGGATGATGAGGGGAGTGCACGAAGTTCCCTAAGGAGTGCACTACTTGAACTCCTGGGAGGTTTATGAAATTTGGATAAACCGGGGACTAGACCATGGAGTTTGTTGCTATTGACCAATCACTAATTTTCCAGATCAGTCCGTTTCCCCAGCCTTTGCTGTTACCATTTCAAGTTTCTCTGCTCAGCCTCATCTAATTCTCAGTCTTCACTCTCGGAATATTAGATTTAAACAGACCCTCTGATAACATCTAATCCAGTCTCCCCAGTTGTGCAGAGGAGGAAATGGAAGTTCAGCAAGAGCAGAGCTGGGCTATTAGGAAGCATATTTTACCCAAATTCTGGAAAATGACAATGACTTGTGCGGTCTCCCTCGGCCTTTCCCTGGCCACTCACCACAGGGCGCAGCCCCGTTCACAGAGTGCTCCTGGGCCCACTCCCCACCTGCAGTCCCGGGTTTGGGCCGGAGGCCTCAGGCCACAGATTGCTTTCTCCACACATGACAATTGTGTATAAGGAGAGAAAGAATCTGGATACAGAAACAGCTTTTAGAGGTAACTTGAACTTATTCAATTGCTAATAGGCACTAGAGAAGCATTAGCACCCATTCTAGGATTACAAAATAAATAGAAACCCTGCCCTTACCTTCAACTTAGAGGTAAAATGGGAAAGTACATGAGGAAAAATCCACATTAGACATGTGTCTCCTATGTGCAAATATGAGTCCTCTAAGCTGGAGCTGGAGAATAGTTTAGGGTTCATGTGTGGGAGAGAGTAATGAGGGCGGAAACCTGGGCCTTGGCCAAATCATGAATGGAATTTAAGCTAAGAGTGGATGATACCTAAGAAAGATCCAGAGGGTTTTGAAGAGACGAATGACAGACTTCATTTCAGGGAGGCCAGTGTGAAGGTGAGGGGTGAGAGAGGGGGTATGTGAGTCAGGCAGGGGTCAGGGATCCTGGTGGTTAACCTTTTAATCTCTGGTGATGTGTGATGAGGCTCAAATTTCTTCTCTGCCAACTGCCTTGTGGGGCTGTTTACACATTGGCAGGATAGAATGTTCCTCAACAGCATGGTTTATATTTTATTCTGAAAACATTCTATTAAACAGATTGAATTTGTTTCAGAGTGTATTCCCTCCTAGAGAAGCTATTAGCCTGATAAAAGGCAAGAAGATGCTCCCCTCCCCCGCCTCGGCACCCCCAGCTTCTTCCTGCCCTTGAGACCTTGCGACCTTGCGACCTTGCTCTATGGAGAAGCAGCAGCCACACCTGCGGGTGCCAAGACCGCTCTGCCTACCTGTTTTCACCACTGCTTCTTGGGTGGATGCTGGAGTTTGCTGTTCTCTCAGGCTGGGATGCTTCCCTCTCTCTCTTTTCCCTCTTTTCTTTTTTTGTTTTAGGTGAAAGAAAAAGCTTATTAGTGAAGCAGTGACACGGAGGGTGGCTACTCCAGGGATAGAGTGTCCCCTCTCCCTCTTTCATTGTCTTGCTCCAGTAGCACTTCCTGACCACCTTCCCTAGAATACCACCCTTTTCTCCAGCCCTGGACTCTGGCTTATTGGTCTTCATCTTCCTTGCACGGATCTCTCACACTAGACTATGTGAGTTCCACACAGCAGGGCCTGGAATACTTTTGTTTTGCAAGGTGCCCACCAGGGTGCTAACACAAGGGCAGGTGTGCCCCACCTTGCTGGATGAATGACGTAGGAAATAAAAAGGGTGGCGGCTGAAGCACCTTTGACAGCTCCTCCCGCAGCCTCCAGCCTCCGCAAGGGACAACAGCGAGTGAGCTCCAAAGCTCACCCCTCCTTAGTGAGGGCGTGGGAGCCAGACTGGCGAAGGGGCGGGGCAGGGGCCGTGCTAAGGCAGCGCCTGCTCTACTTTGAGATTCCTCCATCCTCCAGGCCTGCCCTGAGTAATCCTGAAAAGATCTCATCCATTCAGTGAGAACGCACACTTTGGTGTGTAACGAGGATTATTAAAAGTGAGTGGTGACGGTGTGTGACGGGTGTGAAGGGTTCCAGGCAAGGCGGTTGTGCCCTTTCCCATGAGTGTCTTCACTGTGGTGTGGTTGCTACCTAGTTAGGGTCAAGTTTAGGGTAAGTTTCACTTCCAACAGCAACTTCCGAGGTGCTGGCCTCCTCCAGCCAGTCTGTCTAGAGTGTCAACTGAGAGACAGGGAGGGAAGGAGAAAGAGGGAGAGAAACATGGAGGTGTGAGAGACACATCACATGCACCACCCAACCAGGAACCTGGCCCACAACCCAGGTATGTGCCCTGACCAGGAATAGAACCGATGACCTTTTGGTCTGCAAGCCAGTGCTCAGTCCACTAAACTACACCAGCCAGAGCTGCGGTTTGCTCTTAATCAGCAGAGAGGAAGTGTTTTGAATATAAGCCAGTGGGTAATTTGGGGGGGGGGGGGGCGCGGGGAAATGTAAAACATACAAAACACCACTTGTTTGCTTTTATCAAACCTTCCCTAGAAATACGTGGAATTATGACGCAGAAAAGTTTCGGTAAATTTAGTACTTGCCAGAAATCCAGAGTCTTTGTGCTATCTGCTGGGTCCTGATTCTCAGGGGCCTCATCCCTTTTTAAGGTATTAGCTGTAAACAGCAGCGTTGCCTTCTCTCCACCCTGGCTGTTCCTGGGAAGGGAGCCCCTAACTCAACGAGAGGGCAAGCCCTCAAAGGGCTGATTATGCGCTGCCAGTGGGACTGAAATCTGAGTGAGGCACAGGCCCGGTGAGAGCCTGGCAGCCACAAGTGGGGGCCAGGAGCCCGCAGCCTCAGCATCTCCTGGGAGATCTTAGGGAATCAGCTTCACTCCAGACCAACTGAACCAGAATTTGCATTTGAAAAAGATCCCCAAGCGATATGCCTGCACGCTCAAGTGTGGTCGAGAAAACATAGAAACAGGTAATTCCAGTACCAAATGGCCGAGAAGTGAATCTGTGTTACCCCTTCTGCTGCTATGGAGCAGCCCGTGCTGTTCGGTTAGTTTTATGGCCCTCTGCTATCAGTGGTCCCTCTCTGAACAGAGTGTTCTGCCTCTGAAGTGGCCACCAGTGGCAGGTTTGAAAGGTGAGATGCAGTTCAGTTAAAGGCACCTGGAAATCAATCACTCGGAACGAGAGCCAGCCCTACTCGTGCCATCAAGTCCTTCTCATGAACGCACCGATGCCATGCCTCCTCGTGACTCTGGGCATCACTGTTACAAGAGGAAACGATTCCTGACTGCACTTCCTGTGGAAATGGGCACTTAAAGTTTTTCCAACAATAGACCAGGTGCTGCACAGAAAACAGCATGAACCCACAAACAAAGGAGACAGGAATCTGAGTGGGGCCCCCTCGCCTCTTTCAGCAACGTTACACCAAGAGGTGCGAAGTTCGGAGGGCAAGATTTCTGGAACAGTGCTCAGGCAGCCAGGACATCGTTGGTAATTAAGGCTTAAACTCCAAAAGGTTGTACTGGAGACAAACTGCTTTTGTGGGTATATTGCAAGTCTTAGTTTCACATTTTATGTGTAAACGAGAGATCTGTAAACACGTCCTTTAACCTAGTATGATCAACAGGTTCCCTTGTGCACCAAATATTTAATCGATGGCCTTCTAAGTCTAGGGCAGGGGAGCCAAGGAACAGAACGGCATGCATTACTCCTCTCCTGCTTCTCTGGCTTCTACAAGGGAAACTCTGGCGTGACCTCAACTTTAACATCAAAGAATAAGCAATAAGAAAAGATAAATCCTATTTATACACGAGGAAATGTACACATGAGTTAGTCAGGTTATTTCATTCCAGGAAAGCCAGGAAAGCTGCTATAATTGCATGGCTCTGCGTTTATTTTTGAGAGCTTCATTCAAACACAGCCAGAAATAGACTGGTCTCTCCAGAGTTTGCATGAAAATGAATTATACAGCAGGAAAGAAATTAGTAATATTTAATTACGTTGATGCAAAGTTCATCAGCATTTCAGAATATTGTTTCAAGGTGTTAAGTCGATTTTTGGCCTCCACAGCCGAGGCTGACTTTTTTGTTGTTATTGTCCCTTGTCAATAAGATGCAAAGTCGCTCTCTGTCCTTCAGCTGAAAGAGGGATAAGCCTGTCACCCTATAAGGACCCTGATTCCTCTGGAGAGAACAACAGCAGCTCTATATAAAGAAAAACAAACCCAACCTGAAGTAAACGTCCAAGGAGTCTAGTTTGGCCACAGGAAAGGAAGACCGCCCTCCAAACCAGGCGCAGTTACAGGAACGGTGTCCAAGGTTCCGACTCCAGGCCCCAAGGGAACAGACACGTTTAAGGTTAGACGGTGGTGGCGAGAGTCCTCCGTCCGGGCAGCGCAAGCTGCGGGGCGCGGTCTACAGATCGGAGTCGCAGGGCAGGGAGCTGTGGCAGGGGCGGGTGCTGCGCGAGGAGGCGCCCTGGGAGTGGGGCCCCGTCTCCCCGTCGAGCACGTCCACCGAGTTGGTGTAGGTCTTGGGTGGCGGCCGCGGCATGGGGAAGCCCACCTTGGGCTTGTCAGCGAGGCCCACGTCCACGGGGCCCGCCTCCGCGGGCCGCGGCCGGTGCTGACCGTCGCTGTAGTACTTGATGGCGGGCGTGAGCGCGGGCTGCGGCCAGTCGACGTACACGGTGCTGATGCTGGGGCGGCGAGGGCCGCCGGAGGGTGCTTTGCTGCGGCGTCCACAGCACTCCTGGCACCAGGGCGCGAAGCTGAGCGCCAGCGAGAAGCCGCCCAGCAGAAGCAGGCAGCTGCCCAGGTAGCCCAGCACCAGGCTGTAGCTGACTTCCACCGTAACCGGGCTCTCCGGGGCGGGCAGGACGGTGCGATCCGCCAGGACGTGATTGTACCAGGACACCGGGATGAGGCTGAAGAGGCCCGCGGCAAAGAGCACCAAGCCGGAGAAGCCGGCCGGTGCAAAGCGGGGCTCGTCCTCCCAGCAGCGCACGCCGAGCGACGCCAGCAGCAGCCCCAGCACGGTGACCGCCAGGGACGTCACCATGAGTCCCCGCGCCACGAGCACAGGCTCAGCCTTGAAGTACCCCAGCTCATCCGGCTGGCCGCACTCGCGCTCGCGGCTGCTCTGCTCGCGGCAGATGTCCCAAAGGCCTTGGTACAGCACCACGTCCACCGGCTGGTTGAGGAAGCCCTTCACCTGCCGCCAGCCGGGCGCCAGCGTGCCCGTCAGGTTGAGCAGCAGCCCGCAGGGCGCGAGCACCATGCCCACCGTCATCGCCGCCGGCGTCCGCATGCCCGGGGGCCGCGCGGCTCTGCCGCGGGACGGCGCACCTGCTGCCTTCTCCGCCGACGCCTTCTCGGCCGGCGCGGCCTGGCGATCTCGGGCCCGCGCGCGCACGGAGAGCTCCGGCTCCGAGCCCCGAAGTGGGCACGGGCGCCGCCGCGGGCCAGGGGCCTGCGCCCCACTCTCTCCCGGACGCCCTAAGTTTGCGACCCGGGACCGTCCCCACTCGACGGCTCGCCCCTAATTCCCTCCGACGCGGCTGCCTTCCCCAGTCGAAACCTCTCGCGGGTGAGTCCCACCGATACCGCGGTCCGAGGTGCGGGCGTCCAGAAATGAACCCCGCGACCAAACCCCTCGGGTGGGAGGGACGAGCAGGGAGCAGCGGCCCCCAGCCCGCCCCAGGCTCCTGTGAGCGCCGACACCCCTCTCAGGAGCCAGGCTTCTCCCGGACGGAGCAAAGGTTGCCCCGCCCTGGTTTCTCCCGAGGCTCCGCCGGCCGAGGGCGGGGAAGGCGGTGGGCGGGGAAGGAAAGAGGCGGTGCCGCTCCGGGGGCCCCGCCCGGTTTGCTGTCCTTCAGTTTCCCTGCCTTCCCCGATCTCTGTTGCCACAGTTTTTCTCCGCTCCCGCTTGGGGTCCTGCGGTGTAGCCTCTCCTCCTCCCACTCCAGCGCGCACCCGGTGGTCCCTCCAAGTTTTACGCTGTTCACCTGCAGCCACTTGTCGCCCAGTGGGCGGCACCTCCGCTCTCCGCGCTACCTGCGTGCGCGCCGGGCTGGTGTGCACCGCGGTCCTGAACCGCGTCCCAGAGCATTGCACTGGGCCGATTCGTTTAATAGAGCTGTTTACTGTGCTTAATATAGTCTTCATAGTCCAGGCTAAACTTGACTCAAAAGTATCAAAGCGAGTGTGTTTCTGGGACGAAGGATTATTATTATTTTTTCAGCCTTGTAAAGATTTTGAAAAGCTCACACAAAGAGTTGTTACTGGATTGCACACTTTTCAGGTTTATCTAACTATAGAATGTCCTGCTTTGAGCCGCTTTACAGCTCTGTAAACTGTGGAACACTTGTAGCTGTGCAACTGACTTTTGTCCATAGAAACGCAGACGGGTTTTTCAGGAGAGCGTAAAGGGTGATTGCCCGATTGCTGACCAGTCTGGCCTTGCTTTCTACATTTGCTTTAGCACACCTGTTGGCCTATGCATCTGTGCTTCTTGAATTCTTCTTGGAACTGGCTGTAAACCACAGTTTCCATTATTAATAATGAGTGAAATAAAAATTTTACACGTCTTCATTTTTATATTGAGTCGTGATTTTATATTTTTCTAAAAATTATCTTTTAACAGTATTTTCCTCTTGGTCCATATTTCTTTAAATGGAAGTATATTGTGCTTGTAATTAGTTAAAATTAAAACATTCTAAAAATCCAAGTTAATTCAGCATCGGTTTGAAATAACTTTGAGCATTTTAGTTTTTTTAAAAGATTTTATCTATTTATTTTTAGAGAGGGAAGGGAGGGAGAAAGAGAGAGAGAGAAACATCAATGTGCAGTTGCTGGGGGTCATGGCCTACAACCCAGGCATGTACCCTGACTGGGAATCGAACCTGCGACACTTTGGTTTGCAGCTCGAGCTCAATCCACTGAGCTCCGCCAGCCAGGGAGCATTTTAGTTTTTAATTTTATTTTTCAATTACAGTTCACGTTCAATATTATTTGTATTAGTTTCAGGTCTATAGCTAATTTGGAACATTTTAGGGTGGATGATAGGAATTACTACCTTTCTTTTCAGAAAATGGTGTAATTTTAAAAACTGTGGTAAAACAGGCGTAACAGAATTTATTGTCTTAACCATTTTTAAGTGTACAGCTCATTGGCATTGAGTAAATTCATAATGTTGTGCTACCTTCACTGCCGTTCATCTCCAGAACTTTTTCATCTTCCCAAACTGACACTCTACCTGTTTATCAATAACTCCCCATTCCCATCACCATCCTCCTATCCCCAAAGCCCTTGACAACCACCCTCTACTTTCTTTTCTTTCCTTCCTTCCTTCCTTCCTTCTTCCTTCCTTCCTAATATTTAATACATCACAGATTTGTGTGTCATCCTTGCTCAGGGGCCATCCTCATCTTTTCTGTATTGTTCCGGTTTTAGTATTGGTACTGCCGAAGCAAGTACCACCATTCTACTTTCTGTCTCTGTGAACCTAAATACTCTAGATACTTCATGTAAATGCAATCATTCAGTATTTATGATGGGCTTATTTCACTGGGCATAATGTCATCAAGATTCACTCATATGGTGGCGTGTGTCAGAGTTTCCTTTTTAAGGCTGAATAATATTCCTTTGTAGGTATATACCACGTTTTATTCATCCAGTCATCCTTTGGTGGATACCTGGTTTGTCTCCACCTTTTGGCTACTGCAAATAATCCCGCTACAAACATGGGTGCATGAATATTTCTTGGAATCTCTGCTTTCAGTTCTCCAGAAGTGGAACTGCTGGGTCATATGGTGTTCTATTTTTAACTTTTTAAAGAAATGACCTATTGTTTCCCAGAGCAGCTGCATGGGCACTAGGCTGTAAGTGAGTGTGCTAGTTTTTGTCTGTACTCTTGCTAAAAAAACAAAATTTAACTGAGCAAGTTGGAAGATCTAGTTGGCTTCATTGAGTGATCATTAAGTGGGCAACATTCTATCTAGCAATTAGAAGGAGCCTCTGACGAGTTGTACGAAATGGAAGGTTCTTATGAGCGGAAAGAGGGTGAAATGAAGAAGCTAAAAGAGTGGATTATTCCAGGCAAAGTCACCTTCCACTAGGGGAAGGCAGGAGCCAAATCAGGAAGGTTTTTACAGGACGATGAGTGGGGTGAGGTAGCCCTTCGGGGTGGGGAGGGCAAAAAGGATTATTTCTGAACCAGTACACCTTTACTTTGGGGGAAGAGAAATTGCATCTTCTCTCTGTGGTTGGGGAGAGAGGGCAGAGAGGCCTACATCACAGATTACCTTACCGGTGCTTGACCCAAAAGTTCCTTACTGGTTGAATAAGATTCTGTTTCTCTGAAAGGTTGAAGCTGCAATTAGATCAGGTATTAAATGTACATTTTGTATCATGGGCTTTTAGCACAATTGACACTATTTTGGGCCTGTAGTTATTTTCTTTTAATACAATGAGCCCTACACAGACGATGCATAATTAACATACAATACACTGCACGTAGGGCACTGCTGTTTTGACGTATCAGTACACCCGTGGAACCTGCCCTGGGCACTCTCTCCACCTCTCCCTGCCTCTCCTATTCCCAGGCAACTACTGATCTGATTTCTGTCACTGTCGATTAGTTTGTACTTCTAGAATTTTGTATAAATGGAGTTATATAATATAGATGGCAACTCTCCCATGGCCTATCAACACCCCAATTTGTCTGAACATAAGGATTTATTCCCTTGGGTGACCACTTTGGAAAAAACTGAAATCCCCATCAGCTCTGAGAAAGCATGTTTACTTTGAATACACTTTACAGTTTGTCTCTACATTTAGAACCTAAACAGCAAGGAGCCTTCATAAAGACTTCATGGGCTCTGAATCCTCTCCCAAAAGTCGTTTCCTTCTCACTTAGATTCCTCTCTGGAGCGAATGAGGCCCGGGTACTATTTACCTGTGAGAAAGTAGGGCTCTTGTATGTTCTGCCTCCTAAACCTCTCTGGTCATCCATTTCTCGTTCTTTCCCTTTGCCTCTGCCTAAGCCCAAACCATCTCCTAGCCTTTTCTTTAGACCGACTCCTAGATGGCCCTGACCAGTGTGGCGCAGTTGGTTGGGTGTCATCCTGCAAAGTGAAAGGTCCTTGGTTCGATACCTGGTCAGAACACATACACAGGTTCCAGGTTTGATCCCTGGTCAGGGTACGTCCAAGAGGGCAGCTGATCGACGTTTCTCTTCCACCCCTCTCTCTTTTCTGAAAGCAAAAAAAAAGTTGTCAGGTGAGGATAGAAATAATAATAATAATAATAAGAAGAAGAAGAATGAACAATAAATAAACTGACTCTTAGTTGGTGTCTTACACTGAGGCCTTCTCTCCCCATTCCCCACATGGGCCCTCAGAGTTGATGTTTCAAATTTCAACCAAGTCTTGCACCTGATTTAACCTGTCACAAGACCTTCCGCAGGTCAGCCCCAAGCAGGTAGGTGCCCCTGCCCATGACCCTCTCCACCAACCCAGCGCCATCTCCTCACCCCGTAACCCAGGAAATCCAGACTTTTTCTGGATTTCCTTTTGCCTCTAGATCCTTGCATATGCTGTTCCCCGCCCCCAGAGTTTTGCCTGCTACTTCCCAACCCCAGCGCGTGCTTCAGATGGTCACTTTTCCTGGTGTGAACTCCCATAACTCCCTCTTCCATCATAACACCTGCCTCGATTCCTTACTTCTTGAATCATCTAGCTTTGTAGTTAGTCTGCACATTCTCTGTGGCAGGAGGCATCAGGTTCACCTTGTTCTGTTTTGCTCTGAAATCCGTCTTCCTGCCTGGCCCACAGTAGCCACTCAACGAATCGATTTTATCTCCTTCTGCTCTATATTCATTCATTCATGTAGCATTCCCAGAACTCTCCTACAGGCGACTGCTTGACCAAGAAGCACTGTGATGTGCATCTCAGTGAACAGGTTTGCTTGAGTGTTTGTTTTTCCTCAGCCTAGAAAATAATGAGATAATGATTAGCTCCAGATATTTGCAACCAAGTATATGTCCACGGGGGGGAACTTTCTATGGTAATTTAAAAAAGCGTGATTGAGCTAAGTATAGCATCTGATGAAGGATCTGGGCTCTTTGTTCCATGCACTTCCGAGTTCATTGTGAGGCTGAGTGAGAAACAAAGCATGAATCATAGTGTGTCAGGAATGAATTATTGCTGAGATTAGTACCTGTCTGTGTAAGGTGATCCCCAGCTCAGTAACAGCTTTCTTTTTGGAAGAGGGGCCCTGAGGTAACACAAGGATCTGTTTACTATGCCCCGGGTTTCCTGATGAATAGGGGGCTCCCGGTGGCTAATTGTAAAGGGGCTAATGCTGGGTCCCATTAGTCTGCAAAGGCTGGGTCTAGATACCACCTGGTGCAAAATTCCATACTTCTACAGCAATGTTATCTTGGAAGTCGGATTATAAACTTTGAGGGGCAAAGAGGGGCCCACCACGGCAGTGTGCAGTTATGAGAAGTCCTCAGATTCCCTATACCTGGTCTTTCTATTGTCGGTGTAAGAAACATCCAAACCTGTAGAAAACTTTTATGAGAGTTTACCTGAGCCAAACTGGTAATGCACGCCAGGGAGCAACAGCTCCAATGCTCCAGGGAGTAACAGTTTTGCAGCTTTTATGCCTTTGAAATTAAGGAGGAAATGCAAGGAAGCTTACGTGGAGGTGAGGGAAAGCAAGGTAGGGATTGAAATAGAGGATAGTTAACAAAATTATGT